CTCGTCTCCATCTTTGCCAATCCCATTGCCCAACTCCCGGACTCACCACATCCATTGGTTCATCCATCCAGTTGCGCCAGTCCCTCTGCTTCTGCCAAAAGGCAGACCAAAACTTGAACAAGTCCAGAACTCTTGTGCAACGTCTCTGTACATACGAGGTGGTACATGTGTGAAATACAAAACGTGAAAGACCAGCGGTGCTTCAAACAATACATGACGGTACTCGTTCGAGGGGCGCGCCCAAGGCGAAATGCGCCAGCTGAGGTCGACGGTAGCGCTCAAAAAAGGGCAAACACAGCAGCTCCGTTCTGCCAAACTGCCTTTGTCGCAGGGCGGGAAGGCCTATGACGTAGCCGTCTCAAAGGGGACTAACGGCTGTCAGCAGCTCCTGTCCGCCTTCCTGATTCGACCCGTCGAAGAAACACGCGATCAGACCAGCGAAACCGCAATCTCAATCCCCCGACTTCATGCGAGCATCAACAATGGAACCAAATGCCTGTCACAGGCCCCCTTGGAATATTCCAGCACACAGCAGTCAGACAGTGATTGACAGGTACCGACTCTGAGCTACGGGGACTAAAGTGTCCCATGCCGTGCCAAATCAGGCCATTTTACCAGGACCATGTCATATCATTCCCCATACCGTCTGCCCTACCTCCATACTCTGTCTGTACTAGAGCTGCACACTCCATCCCCTCCCTTTTCTGCTAGTGGCAGACAGGACCTCATCTTGTGGTGTCGTCCTTGGAGCTGCGGAGTTGCAACGGAGTGGTCGGAGCGGCATGGAGTCGGCCTGGTGAATTCGATCGTCTCGACACCCATCCGAACGAACCCCGGAAGGATTCTACAACAGAACACAGATCGCATGCTTTAGACTTTTCTTGCTTTCTTACATGCTTCCGTCACAGCTCCGATGATCAACCACCGCTGTCATACCATCACCGTTGACAGATGCTACCGCACGTATTACATGGAACTGCCAGTTTCATCACTTCCTGCCCCTGGTCCTGGTCTCGGCATCGCTCGACCTGCCATCCGCCACCCCAGCTTCGCATGCAGCCCTCCAACGGATCGCCTTTGACAATGTAGCCGGCGAGGCAATATTGCGATGGAACGCGATTCCAGCGAGTCCGCCGTACATGTTTTACATGCGATGCCTGCAACTTTGTACGACAGCAGTAGCCCTCTGTACTTACACAGCAGTCAAAAAGTCTCCGGCTGTTTACCAAGCCGTTGTGCATGACGGAGACGGGTGAGACGAGGTATACGAGCCGGCAAGCAGCAATTCAGCAGTTCTAGCTACTGCTTCGTAACAAGCAGCTCACCACTGGTAGTGGTAGCGACAGTAGTGTATCAGCAAGGAATCGGGGAGTTTCAAATCTGCTGTAATATTAGTACTAGAGCATTCTCTGCTTTCCCAGGCCCCGATTCCCGGACTCGCGCAATCTCTGTCGGGTCACGCAATCGCCGAAAGGGCACAAGACCCTTACTTCCTCCTCCCCCACAAACAGTTCCTCGTGAGACTTCGTGTCGTCCCCCAATTTGTGTTGCGAGCAGGGAAACCGGGAGGATTCGAGGAGGATGGGGTTCTATTCGGGGAGAAGTTCCAGGCCTTCTTCGGCAGACGGATTCTGTCGTACAAAGTATGTACGCATCTCTACGCCGTACATGCCTCTTGGCTAATTACCTTATATGACCGCTTACCGAGAATTTTTGTTACAAGTGGTAGGACGCGATGTACCTATTTGATATTCCTTTTCTTGATGGACTGTCCCAGCTGGGTGAGCCATCACCTCATTACTTCATAGCACATCGTATCTTCAATGATTATCTCCGGCGACTGTTATCCTTGATCGATCGGCCATGCATTTTCATCGGTCTGGGTTTACAGAACGTTTCCATCACAAAGCAGGTCTTTAAGCTTTTTGACGGGCTGCCAGGCATGAGAACACACTTTCTTTGCTGGAACTAACAGCACGCAACCACGTATCCGGCTATGCAATATTACATGCTGCATGGAAGACTGGGGCTTAACTTACAGCTGGCTTGCCCTGCCGTCATCGGGCTTTGGCACGGAACGCGCTTTGATGCTGTTTGAAAAGCCAAGTCGGTCGGGCCAAGGTGAGATGGTGAAAGATGAAAGCCGGAGAGAAGTTGTGCAAGTGATAGTAGTAGCTGGACGGACGGCTCTTTGCGATGAAGTCTGTACTCCCGCTTCGCGTGACCGTTCTTGTCGGCTAAATTTACGAAGTAGATGCATCCAAGATTTGTCCATGTGAAGCTCTCACAAGCTGAACTTAGAGCTCTCACATTGACTGCATCTGGGTTCAAACTGTCTGAGCAAGAAGATCCAAATCCAATTTTCCTTAGAGAACCAAAGGAAGTGGGGTTAAATCGGGCGACGATGTCCCGAGGCTATCGCTATCATCAACTCAAAAGGTTCCAGCATATGTCCATCTCTATCATCGTCTCTGAGAAATATCGTCTCATCTCACAATGGCTTCGGAAGTAGCAGTCCGATTCATGCGATCCGTATGTGATAAAATCGACAGCAATGGCTCGCACTCAAGACTGCAGCTACATGGCATGGTCATCTGAAGTCACAACGAGGAGATACTCAGGAATATGCACGCTGGCGAGGAAGAACGCGAAAGGGATACAAAGAGACAAAGAAAGAAGTCAAATGTCCTCCTATAGTTTTGTCACGGATCAAAAGGGCTGATATGCTTTCTTCATTAAGATCAACAATGCCAAGCCTTGTCTAAGCCATAAGGACCGTCTCCAGATACCGAACATCGGACCGAACCCTATCTCTTCTCGTCCGGGAATCGTTAATCCAACTCCTTCAGAAAAGACCCAAGAATCACGGTTCTCAGTAGTATCCCTATTAGCACCATATATTCATCTACTCCGTAGAGCAAGAACCAATTAGTCAACACCATTCCTATTTCACGGCATCAAGACTCCCCCCTTTGAGCCGTCAAAACCCACCAAGGCGCGCGACAATAAGGCACCACACAGCCTGCCCGTTTTCTCTTTGCAAGAGCGCGGAGAAATGCTCATCTATTCGACTCAAGCTACTCAGTAGATAATGAAAAGACCCAGACCGGACCAGTACGAAGCGTTGAATGTGGTTGAACTAGCCGTTTGGCGCAAGTTTCCGCGAATGCGCCCTCTCCCCCGCAAGTTACTATCGTAATAGTTCTTAGTCATCCTCCGCTGCCGGCTTATATCGACAATCGCCAGATGGACAAGAAGCTGTTTCGTGGGATAGAAAGGGCGCAGTATTCACAATTGCTGTCAAACTGCTGATGTCTTGTTCAAGGCTCCTAGGAACCAATCTCTTAGAACCCTCAACCCGCTCATAGCAGAGCATCAACAAACCCTCAAGTCCAAAACCCAGTCAGTTCAACCATCTCATCCCCCCTTCAAACACTAAACACTAACACCCCTCACAGAAACAAAACAAAATCCTAGAGGAAAAAAGGCACTCAAGATGTCTCAGCCAGCAGCAACCAGCCTCTCCCCGGAAGACCGCCTCAAGGCCCGCAAGCCCGTCCCCAAGCCCGTCCCGGCCTACCTCCCCACCGCCGGCTCCCCCCGGAGCGTCGACAAGGACCTGTACGAAACCATCCAAAAGGCGCCCCGCGTCCTCGTCGAGGAGTTCACCCTGCCCATCCGCTCCGGAAGAGCATGGGAAGCTCCGGCAGGCTCCATCATCAGCATCAGCACCCCCGAGGGGCCTCAAGTCGGTATGTAATATCAATCTCATCTCATCTCGAGCAAACGTCACTAGAATCTCATCTACTGAACTTCATGAAAAAAGGCGACCTCAACATCTGGAACCGCCACAACCCCCGCGAACGCTTCTGGGCCAGCCGCACCCGCCAGCTCCACTCCGCCCACGTCTCAACCCACGACCGCCTCTGGTCCAACCTGCCCTACATGCGGCCCCTCGTCACCATCATCGCCGACAGCCTCGCCTGGTACGGCGAGGACGAGAACGGCGGCCGCGTGCACGACCTGCTGGGCACCCGCTGCGACCCCTACATCAACACCGTGCTGTCCGGCGAGCAGTACGACTTCCACTGCCACTCGAACCTGAGCCGCGCCGTGGCCAAGTGGGGACTGCGGGAGGACGACGTGCACGACGTGCTCAACTTGTTCCAGGTCACCGGGCTGGATGACAAGGGGAGGTATTTCATGAGTCCGTGCCCGGCGGAGAAGGGGGACTCTATCGAGTTTCTTGCTGAGCAGGATGTCCTCATGGCCTTGAGTAAGTCTTTGATAACTTCCCCCCCCAATGCTCCCCCATAACCCCCTTTATACCTTGTAGAAGCGGGTTAAAAACAGTTCGAGAGACCACGTGTAATGGGCTGACATTTAAAAAGGCACCTGCCCCGGCGGCGATCTCTCCCTCTGGGGCTTCGGCAGCGACAGCGAAAAGGAAATGATCAAGGTCTGCCGCCCCTTGCACGTCAAGGTCTACCAGCTCGAGGACAAGGAGCTCCTCCAGAGGAGCGGCTGGAAGCCCGCAGAGACGTCCGCGTACAAGGGCATGCATGGCGTCTTCTCCCCAGAAGGAGAACCAAGTCAGCGCAAGTAAATGACAAATTCTAGAAATGCTTCTAGACAATGTAGAATAGGGACACTTCCAGATATGTTTCCAGACACTGTAGATTAGGGGATGCTGCCAGCTTGTCTCCCCCTACCCAGCACTCATAGCAACCTTTGGATTATGATGCTAGTGAATAGGCATGTTTGCCTCACACAAGGGCTCTCATGTAGTACATACAATTCCATTGGATCGGTTCATCTGCACGTTAATGTGAAAAGACAGGAGGCAGCTGGGGATTGGTACCCGCATAATGGTATAATTGAACTATCCTTACAACTCCAGATCCATGGCCGCCGAGATGTCTCATAAGCCCGTCGGTGCAGGATACAGATTCGTTGCATAAGTGTGTGACCGAATCGTGTTTGTTGATGTGCGGGCCCGTCTACTTCCACAGCTTGCCAAGAGAAACCTCCTTATCATCGTGCTTGTTGAGAATCTTGGCAGTTGCCAGCTCAAAGTCCTCCTGCGTGACGTGTACTCTCCTCTCACGGAGAGCATACATGCCCGCTTCTGTGCACACACCCTTGAGCTCGGCTCCGGAGCAGCCGTTCATCTTCTCGGCAATCTTGGTCAGGTTGATGCCTCTTGTCAGGTTCATCTTACGGCTGTGGATTCGGAGAATGTCGGCTCGGGCTTCGATGCTGGGCGGGGGGAACTCGATTTTGCGGTCGATACGGCCGGGTCGCAGCAAAGCGGGGTCTAGGATGTCGAGGCGGTTCGTGGCCATGATGACCTTGATGTTCTTGGTAGGCTCGAAGCCGTCCAGCTGGTTCAGCAGCTCCAGCATGGTTCGCTGCACTTCGGAGTCGCCACCTGATGAGCCCTCCACTCGAGAGGAGCCAATGCTGTCGATTTCGTCCATGAAGATGATTGACGGAGCGTGCTCTCGGGCCATGATGAACAACTCTCGGACCATGCGGCTACCTTCACCAATGTACTTTTGCACCAATTCGGAACCAGAGACTCTGATAAACTTGCAAGCCGTGTGGTGGGCCACAGCTCTGGCCAGCAGTGTCTTTCCGGTACCGGGGGGTCCGTATAGCAAGACACCCTTGGGTTGGGCGATGCCCAAAGACTCGAAGAGCTCGGGATGCTTCAGACCCAGCTCAATCACCTCCTTGATCTCCTTGATCTGCTGATCCAGTCCACCAATCATGTCGTATGTGCTGTCGGGGACCTTTTCTACCATCATGAGCGATACCAGGGGGTCGACCGATGACGGCAGCATCTTCTCGAGCTTGTAGCTGTCTGACAAGAGCGTGACTCGCTTTCCGGGTGTGAGTTTTGAAATTTCGACATTGTCGGATACATCGACGACTAACACGGAAAGGATGAGCATGCTGTGAGTGGACTCCAGGGTGTTTCATTGACGACCTACCGTATTTGCCCTCGGGATGTACTTTGACCAGGACCTTCTTGGTGCTCATCACCTTGACGACCTCTCCAACGTAGGATCCAGGCTGCTGCAGCAGGCCCAGCTCTTCTCTCAGTAACCGGACCCGGGAGTTGTAGTCATTGCGCTGGGCTTCAAGACGGCGGAGAGCAGCCTGACCCTTGAGGATCTCGAGCTTCATCGCCTCGATCTTGTTGCGGTAGTACTCGTCGAGCGCCATCTTGGGCGGGCTCCGCGCTGGAGGGGATGGGCTGTGGAGGGAGAACACGAAGATCGTAAGCTGGGGGTAGTTGATTCGGTGATGAGCGTCGTCGAGATGCGGAAATGCGGAATGCGGCGAATGCGGTTCGTTGGTGTACAGATGCCGTGGTGGATGTCGATTGGGGCCAAGTTGAAGCTGCGCAAGGCTACAGCTGGTGCTCGTAAGCGCTGGGCGTTGGTGGCGGATTATGTGTTGTGCCGGGCTCCGCGTTTCTTTGAAGCTCTGTGAAGCTCCCAACCCAGAGTGTGTTAGTGGCACCTGGTATGGTAATAAGACGGAGCACCTCTTTGTGCTTCAGCAAAACCAGACCGAAAGTTGAAAAATGACGCCAGAAACGACCCGAGACGAGACTGCCGTCTGGCCTTGGCTGACGTCTTGCTGCAACAGAAAGAGCAGCGGCATCCCACGCCAAATGCCACCATCGGCTGTGCCCGAGTCGGTAGTACTTGTGCCAGCACGGTCTCACGGCGCAGACATCAAGTACCTCTGCATTGAGCTGTTCAACTCCAGGCTGCCTCGCACCAATATTAAACGGTTTGCGTGTTTCTTGTCTTCCGTCTGTTTGTTTCTACTCCTGTTGCTCCCCAGCTGCTCTGCTTGTCTACCGTAACATATCATCATCGTCATGCCATACCAGGTCCATATCGTCCCCCAGCATCATGTAGGCGATAACGCAAAATGACGTTGCATCCTGGCTGGCTGCCAAAACCCAGGTCACAGACTGGCGGATCACAAGGACCAAGCGATGGGTCACGCCGTGTGATGGCCCCCCAGACGGTGAGGAGGCCGTGGATGCCTTGTGCCTGTTGACCGTTTGGTTATCTATCATAATTCTCTCTCTCTCCGCTGACGGGCAGCCTCTCTGTTTCCTGCGTCTTCTCCAAGGGATCAGACTCCGTAGCTCTTTATTGCGCTGCATGCCATACAAAAGCGGGCTGAGCGGTGCTAGTGTGTGTCATCTGCAAGCTCCGCGAAAGAGCAGCTGGACGGACTTCGGTGGACATTCTTTGCATGGCCTGCCGCTGGTGTTCTTCACCATTCGCGGCTGCTGTCTGCCGCTTATCCTGCGCCTCATCGACGATTCGAACCCAGCTCCGAATTTGGTTTGCATTCGCTAACTGACGCTGGAGATACCCAAGCGAGCGCCCTCAAGCTTCTGCGTCTTCAGCCCAGGGTACAAGCTAAACACTAGCTGACCTCACCCAGACCCTTGTATATCGGACGGAGCTCGCTTGCTGGGCTGGCAGGAGGCCAACAGCTGGAGCTCTTCCTCTCTGTTCTTCCTTCTTCTTCCTTTCCTCTCCCCGTCCTTCGCCTCCGCCTCTTCTTCTCTCTTCAGCTCCGCCGTCTCCGTCATTTTGTCAACATTCACGGCGTCTTCTTTTTCTTCTTTTATTTCTCCCTTCCCTCCCTCCTTTTCCATGTCTGTGATGCCACACTCCCAAAACCGCCATCACGACACACAGACTCCCTGATCCCGTGTTCACAGCCCCTCCACACAGCTAGAGCTCGCTAGCCCGATCTATCAAAAGCCGCCGGGCGACAGGGATAACCTTTGAAAGTCGGACGTTATCTCAGCCCTTTTTTATTAGACCTGCCAAGTCCTCGTTCAGCAGGCCTGCGAGGATCATCATCACCTTTTGTCGCGGCATCGTCGCCGCCTTGACATCGCCATCGATAGTCATGGATCCTTCGCAGCAGGACAACGCGCCTCAAGCGCAACGCGCCAGCGTTTCCTCGGGCATGATGTCACCCACAGATACCCGGAATCCAACTCTGTCCAGGCATTCGTCTGTCGTCGACGAGGGCACGCAGTCGACGGACACCGTACGGCGGCGCCCCGAGGGATATGGTAGGACAACGCGACACTGTCATACCCACACCGGCTTCTTTCGATGTGCTTGCTAACGTAGTCCGTCCACAGGCACCATTCAGAACATGAGAAGCAGCCAGACGCTCAGCGACCACGGGCCGGGGCGCAGTCAAGTCGGCCGCTCCACGTCTGCGGCAGGTCCCGAGCGGAGTCAGTCCTATTCTCGCATGCGGAAGCCGCCTCTATCGCGACGCACGTCGGCCACGACTCCACACAAGGGAGAGGTCTTCTCTGTCGACGACGACACACACGAGGTCGAGGCGGACGCTGCCGAGCGGCGCGCTGGCTTGTCGACGCGCCGCCGCCTACCACCCCCATCAGGACTCGCCCGCATTCAGTCTTTCCGTAGTGCCGAAGACGAAGCAGAGTCTGAACGGAACGATGAAGCCAGCATGGCCGAAGAGGAGCGCGACGAGGCGGAGGAGGAGCTGCCGTTGGACGAGCATGTCGATTGCGATTCGGACGGCGATATCAGCGAGGCCGAGAGCTTCACGCTCAAAGACAGACAGCAGGCCATCAACCAAACGCACCCTTTCGGTATCCGAGTTTGGAAGCCCGCGCTGTACAAGAAAGACCGCTCCATTCAAAAGTTCGCCCAGGCAGACATCCACTCCTCGCCAGGCGGTAGGGTCAGCAGTTGGCTGCTCCTCTTCAACCTGCTCTGGACGCTCTTTTTCGGATGGTGGGTAGCCTGCTTCGCCGCCTTTGGCGCAATCATATGCCTTTTGTTCTCTGCCGCGCCTAGCGGGCGAGAATACGGAAGAATTCTTTGGGGCCTGGCAGGCTACTTATTCTACCCCTTTGGCAAGTTTATCAGGCTCGAGAAGGATGAGGCCTACCTAGACGAGGATCAAGACGAGGGCAGAAGCATCTCCGAGTACGAGCAGTGGCAGAACGGCGACCTCGAGTACGGCCGGCTGTTCTTTGGACCCGATCGACACCGCTCCATCATCGGCCGCTCCCGGAGGAGCATCGACTCGGAGCCCAGCGAGACGGAGAGCCTGCTGGGACGGGGCCGCCGCGGCGAGTCTGCCGATCTGCACCCCCGGCTGAAGCGCAGGCTGTTTGGCCGTGGAGAGTGGAACATTGGCCGCATCATATTCTTCGTCTTCTTCTACTGCCTCATCTCGCCTTCTTTGATCATTATATCTGGCATTTGCTGGTTCCTCGTCTTCTGGATTCCCATGGGCAAGGTCACCATGCTGCTCTTTGACCATCTCAGGAGACACCCCCTCGCTCTGTCGTTTGAATCCCACATCAGCTACGCGCGAGTCGACGACGCCCCGGACTCATCCATCCTGGTGTGCACCTATCGAGCAGTTGGCTCAAAGTACTGGAAATACACAATTGACGGCACCAACATCTTCTTGATCAACCTCATGGTGGTCGTCGTCTTTGTTATTGCCGACTGGCTCATTCTGGACCAGATCCTACACGTGGAGGTACTCATCACTTCGCCTGCCTTTCTGTTTGTCGCTGGCTTGCTCTCCATCATCCCGCTGGCGTACTTCATCGGTCAGGCTGTGGCCTCCATCTCGGCCCAGTCGTCGATGGGTCTGGGTGCCGCCATCAACGCCTTCTTCGCCACCATCGTCGAGGTTTTCCTCTACTGCGTTGCACTGAGCCAGGGCAAAGGTCAGCTCGTCGAGGGAAGTATCGTGGGCAGCATCTTCGCCGGCATCCTGTTCCTGCCCGGCATCTCCATGTGCTTCGGCGCCCTGAAACGAAAGACGCAGCGATTCAACGCCAAGTCGGCCGGCGTGACGTCCACGATGCTGCTCTTTGCCGTTGTCGGCGCCTTTGGCCCAACGCTCTTCTACCAGATCTACGGTACGCATGAGCTCAACTGCATGGACTGTGAAGACTATGTCTACGGCGGCATCATCGGGGGCGGCGCTGCTCGCGATTGCCGGCGGTGCTCCTTTTCGCAGGCACCTGCTCTTGACGATCGCTTCTACCTCGAGGCCGTGCGGCCGTACTGCTACTCTGCTGCCTTCCTGCTCTTCTTCTCCTACCTGATCGGCCTGTGGTTCACGCTGCGCACGCACGCAGCCGTCATCTGGAACGCCGAGGTGGAGGAGAAGCGACACGACGAGGTCATGCACGCATCAGCAACGCTTCGACCGCCGCATCAGCAGTCAACGGCCGAGGGCGCCGGGGCTGATATACGCGATTCGCATCTGTACAAGCGCATTCTAGGCCAGACCCTCAAGCAGGGCGGCCTGCCGGACGCCTCCCGCCCGAGCTCCACTACTGCCCACGATGCCGGCGGTGCCAATGGAGTGGGCAGCACCCTTCATGTGGTGCCGCCCAGGGGTGGTGCCGAGGAAGAACAGCAGCAGCAGCAGCCGCCCTCGCGCCCAAAGATGCCCGGCCTCAGCCAGGTCGACAACAACCTGGTACGCGAGGTTGCCGAGATCGCTGCCACGGCCGCCACGATTGCCTCCCGTGACCGGTACGCGCAAAAGCAGTCCATGGCCGGCCCAACAACACCACGGCCGCATGGCACCAGCCGAACCAGCCACGCCCCCGACATGGAGGAGGACGTGGCTACTGCGGGAGCGGCCACTGCGCACGCTGGCGGCCACGGCCACGACGCGCCCAACTGGAGCCGCACCAAGAGCACCGTGATCCTGCTAGGAGCCACCATCCTGTACGCCATCATCGCCGAGATCCTGGTCGACACGGTCGACGTCGTGCTCGAGAGCTTCGCCATCGACCAAAAGTTTCTTGGGCTGACCCTGTTTGCCCTGGTTCCCAATACTACCGAGTTTTTGGTAAGCACCGCCGCATCATCCCCATCCAATCCCCTGAGCCCCGTGCATGCCCCTCACCCCGTGCCCACGTTTTGCTGACGCTATTGGACTCTTGTCCTTCTCCTTGCTTTTAGAACGCCATTTCGTTTGCCATGAATGGCAACATTGCATTATCGATGGAGATTGGCTCCGCATACGCCCTCCAGGTGTGCCTGCTCCAAATTCCATGCCTCGTGCTCTTCTCTGCCGTCTACCCAAACATCCCGCCCGGCGGTGATGCCGCCAAGTATACCTTTTCGCTGCTCTTCCCGCAATGGGACCTGGTGACGGTCATTCTGTGTGTGTTTTTGCTCAGCTACGTGTACGGCGAGGGCAAGAGCAACTACTTCAAGGGCAGCATCCTGCTGCTGACGTACCTCGTCGTCGTGATTGGCTATTATTTCAGCGGCTACACCGAGGCAGCCATGGGGCTGCAGCGCTTCGACGTGATGGGGTCCGATGGCAAGTACCAGACCTTCAAAACCATTGGCAGGTCGACAAGCGGGAGAGCCTTTGAAGTGATTTGAGCGGCTGATTGCCGAAGCTGTGGTGAGGCTGCAGCAGTGGCAGCAGCTTTGTTGACTCTACTACTACCAGTATCCTTATTATTCTGATAAAAGTCCCGCAAGGTCCCGAACAGGCTGCATGCGTCGGTGACCTTTTACGTCTCATCATCTTTCTGTTGGACTCTGCCGTCCGGTTTATTGGCTTGGAGTGGGTGCTGCACGTCTTGCAGCATGGGCATCTGCATCTTTCGTCTCTTGTTATCAACCTCTTTTGGGGAGGGCAATACGCCCGGGTTCTTCTTTTTACTTGTTCTGCAGAGCCGGCATTTCTTTATCTGTGCTTCTTTTTGCTCTTTTCTTTTTTGACATTCATGGCATTGGTCGACATGACGGCAGGCTGCCTGGCAGCGGCATGTAATTGTGTATCCTATTTCCTTTTGTCTCTCCTATGGCTTGTTTGGTCGACGAGAATGTGGTTGGCACAAAGTCGACGAAGCGTCTCTGAACGAAAAGCATATGTTTATTGATATCTTACCTTTCTATGTTGCTGTTGCGTACAACATACCACCATGGCTTGCCTCGTCTGATGTGAAAATCGCTGAATGAATAATTTTCAATAACATGTTCCATCTCCTCACCAGTCTCTGTGAACCGCGTGATCCGTTGATAAGACGCAATAAAGGTTCTAGATCATCTCTCTCCACTACCTGCCGGCACGGGAACGGGGTTCTTGAAGAGTGCCGGGGGTATTATGCATGTTGTCGACGCTTTGCCTGAATAGGAGAAGAGCTTGGCAAATCTTGCATATTCGGATTGTCTCGTCCGAAGTAAAAGAGAGAGAGGAAGATGGAAGCTAATGTTTTCAGGGGGGGGTCCTTGCTTTGTAAAGTCCAATTGGTTGAGGAGAGGAGAGGTGTGTGTGTTGGTTGGTTGAAAGAGAAGGGAACTTGTCGGATGTTACTAGCCGGTAAGAAGGAACTTGAGAGCTTGGGGAGCTCTTTGAGCGTTCTTGAGCTTCTTGAGCCTATGTACAACTACGACTGCTCTCATATGGGGTGTATAATAACAATACTTGTTTAGTCGTAAGAAGCCATGTAGCTCATGGTTATGTTTTCTTTTATTGGAGCTATTGTGCGGCCCATTTGGCCCTCAGTATGTTGTGAGAGAGAGCGCACAACTCGGCGGCTGTCCCGCCATCAGATAGAGAGGCAGTTGAGACATGGTTTACGCGGAAACGAAGACAAAGAGATAACTACTACTACCACGCAAAAAGGTACTTGTAACAAGAAGTGTTACCGCAACTTCGCAGGCCCATAATTCGTGCATCCGGCATCGCGATGCAAATGCTAACCACCTTGTCAAACTCTTACATACATAGCTTGACGCCAATGAAGGAAGCAGGGGTAACAAAGGTTGTAAGCCATCCCTAGCAAAAGGCTCAGCTGATGTTTCAATTTTTCCTTCCCCCTTCTCTCCATCTTCTCCAACAGGTCGCTCTGGGTCATGCTCGTTTGCTCGTGGGGCAAAAGGGGGGGGTTCCAAAGCTTAAGGACTCGCACCGCACATACCGGCGGGGGGGCTGCGTTTGCCCTCCCGGCTCTTGCCCCTGGTTCAAAGTACCGGTCCGTAGCAAACACTGTCAAACTCGATGCATCCCCTGTCCGTGTTAACGGCACGACGGGGTTGACACATGGTTTGAATGCTCCATACCAATTCCGTTGTGCTGGGAGAAGAGCAGCCGATTTGTGACGGAAGCCCTGCATGCTTGATAATTACACTTCCTCGGGGAGACCACGAGCAAACTGCCGAGGCCGAGAGCGGTAATATCTGACAGGCATCTTGTGATAATCCTGACATACACTTTGTTTCTCTTTCCCACTCAACCCTCCCGCGGTTCCATCTTCAGGTATGACCGCCGGACAGAGTGTCGGGAACGCTTTCGAACCAGGCTGGGATGAGCGTATCGCGAGTAGTGTGAAGGGCGGATTGGAGGCTGGATACATAAACCAGCGAGATGGCGCCATAGGAATGGAGGTGAGGAAAGGGAGAGTGCTTCTGCGTTATATCTGGACATTCCGTTAGCTGGTACAGAGTACAAAAGCTGCTTGAAGCAATCTTGTGCTGAAGTATCTCGGCCGGCAGCATCTAGAATCGTTAAGCCACGCAGATTCCTTCGAGTCTTTGCATATTGAGAACTCGGCCCAAGTTCATCCAAGGATAGCTTCAGTATCCGCGGGAAGATATTCAGACGCACAGTCGCCATTCATCGAGCCAGGTATTCGATGCCTGCGGCCGAGCCCTCAGCTGCCGAATCTCCTTCAACGTCACCAACAGTGACGACACCGTCATCTCCGACACCCACCATCACAATCGTCAACGACCGCAATGCCGGCTCCCCAGCGGATAGCAGCGAGAACGAAAAGAGCGGAACAAGTTCCCCCACAGTATTGGGAGTTGGGCAGGATGACGTTGAAACCCAGCAAGAGGACCAGCACCAGGGCTATTCTCTGCCACCGGTCGACACAGGCAAAGACGCATGGCTGTTCCTGGCAGCCTGCTTCGTGATGGAGGCCATGGTATGGGGTGAGTCGAGTCTGCCCGCAACATATGACACAAGTGAAGACGGGGTGTTGACGGCGTAATCAGGCTTTCCCTTTGCATTCGGCATCTTCCAAGAGTACTACCGCACCCACGAGCCGTTTGCCGGCTCTACCAAGACGGCCATTATAGGAACTTGCGCCATGGTAGGTACTCAACAACCAAATATCCAGGAAGCTTCGGCTGACGTCCACCCAGGGTATCATGTATCTCGATGCGCCCCTCGTCTTTGCGTTTGCGCGCATCTTCCCCAAGGCAGGGCGCTGGCTTCCCACCGTCGGCCTGCTCATGATGTGCGCCGCTCTCGCCCTGTCGTCCTTTTCGGAAACGACGACGCACCTCATCCTCACACAAGGCGCCCTGTACGGCATTGGCGGCTCAATCGCCTACAACCCATGCCTGATGTACGTGGATGAGTGGTTTGACCGCCGCAAGGGATTGGCCTTTGGCCTCATGTGGTCCGGAACCGGGCTTGGAGGCTTCACCATCCCGCTGGTGCTCGAGGCCCTACTCGACCGATACGGCTTTCGAGTCACGCTGCGCATATGGGCGATTGCCCTCTTCGCCTTCACCATGCCGCTGGTGTACTTTGTCAAGCCGCGTCTGCCGCCGGCCATGACGGCTCACATCAAGCCACTCGACTGGGGCTTCATGAAGAACCGCGTCTTTGCTCTGTACCAGCTGGGCAACGTCATCGAGGGCCTGGGCTTCTTCCTGCCGGGCATCTTTCTGCCCACGTACGCGCGAGACGTGCTGGGGGCCAACCCGTTCGCCTCGGCAGCGACTCTGCTGGTGCTCAACGTGGGATCGGTCGTGGGGCCCATCGCAATGGGAACGCTGGTCGACAGACTGCATGTCACGACGTGCATCTTGATTTCCACCGTGGGAGCAGTGTCCGGCGTCTTGCTGCTGTGGGGTCTGGGATCCAACATGGGGATCCTGTACGTCTTCAGCCTCGTCTACGGCATCTTTGCCGGGTCTTTCACAACGTCGTGGCCGGGCATCATGAGACAGGTCATCAAAATCGCGACAGCTGCGGACATGGAGACGACCAGCATCGAGGAGCGTTCTGGCAGCGTCAGTCCCAGCAGATATGATCCTCTCATGGTGATTGGCTTCCTTTCTATCGGCCGAGGCGTCGGGAATATTGCATCAGGTCCGCTAAGCGAGGCTCTGGTGAAGGGGATGCCATGGCAGGGCCAGGCTATCGGAGGGTACGGCAGCGGATATGGGATTCTGATTATCTTTACGGGCACGACGGCGTTGTTTGGATGCGTGAGCTATGCTGGGAGAAGGGTTGGGTGGATGAATTAGACGGTTCTGCATAAGGTAAGGTAGAAGAAGGCATATCTGTACCACGAATGACTAATGACTAAGATGGAAGGTGATCCAAATCTCGAATATCTGAAGGCAGGTGCATGTTGAGGTTCTTCATTAAACGGGGTTGGTGGATGTGGATGCCGAGGACCCTTTTAAGAAATTCACACCACGGAAGCAATCACAACGAGATACCTCGAAAAAGCAGCCTCTTCTTCGCATTCAGGGCAAGCCCATCAAGCAACGAAAAGATAGAAAAAAGGACACGCCTGTCAGACGTCCATCGACACCCACCCTACCAGCACGCCCGAAGACAGTGAACCAGCAGGGTCGAGATCATCAAGAAGAAAACAACTCTCTATACAGTAGCCGCGCGAGGGCAACCACCGCCATCCTTGCGGACAGAGCGAGAGGACCAGAAAAAGTATTCACTCTTGGGCATCGAGGATATGCAATCATCAACCAGGGTGGATTCGATGGCTCTTTTGGGAACCAAAGCGAGAGACAAACACTATAGAAATGATTCTCCTGCAAAAGATTGTTAGCAAATGCGCGTGTGATTTCTGTGTGTGCTGCTGGCATCTGTGGGGGGGGGAAGAGGCCAGCAGTTAGGGGTGCACATACTGAAGTATTGTCGACGTAAAGAAGAAAAGAAGAAAAAAAATCAAAAGGACGGCGGGCGAGACGGACTTTTATACGTGCTCTGGTGGAGTGGAACTGACCGCCTAAAAGTTTTGGGCGGCAGAAAAAAAAAATAAAGACGGGCCGGGCCCGCTTTGTTGGTTCCAGCCACCGGCACGGTTTGCGCTTGGCTTTTCGGAGGGGGATGCCGGATTTGCTCGTCTTTTCTGGTGCAGAGAAGAAACTTGGTGCGATGCGAATGGACAACAGTGAAGGAATTTTCTGCTTTTGCAGGGAACATGAATCATTGGTGTCCTCTGATGAACTTGTGATTGGCCTATCTAGCATTTTGATGACATCTTGATTCTGTACCAATCTGTACAAGTAGGACAGTTGCCTCTCCATTGATTTCGAGCCGTCCAACCGCCTCAAACACAGCCAGATCATGCTAATAGTAATACTACCTCGTATTGACGCTGTTGTCCGCGCCTGCGGCTTGTAAACCAGATGTTCAAGTACACCCGATCGATGCAAAATTGGCCAGACTGCAACATATATCAATTTCATCTTTCTTTTCTAGCGAATTGACTGAGAAAATAGCTGTGAGCATATTATCGCTACGTAGGTACTCCGTAGTTGTATACCTTAGCTAAGGTACCTAATCAGAGCCCACTGTACTTGGTCTGGTGCTGCTGTGTCTGCCAAGCTCGACCTTTCTGTACCGGTCATGCGGTTGATACAGCTTCTACATAGTAGACACAACAATTTTCCTACGCTCGATCAACAAGCTGTCTTTTTTTTCCTCGCGAGCTTCACCCAAGCTCAACCATCCTATTCACAATGACAATCAAACAGAGATGATCAGAACCAAGTCATTCTTTACTATATAAACATGACACATCTATGAGCACCAACACTCTCCCGCCTCTCTCCAGGGTAGTCTATATATCAACTCGCAATCCTCAACACCATCGCCAGCATCATCACACTCTACACATCCCCTCCCCCCCTATACAGCCCCTCCCCCTCAATCCACCCCAAAACCTCCCCATCAACCATCCTCTCCAACGCCTCGCTCCCAACTCCCCGCCTCACCATCTCCCTCACCCTCGAGCTGCTCACCCCAACCCCCTCCCTGCCCCCCTCCACCAAATCAACCCTCCCAGCCCACGCCGCATCCCCCCCCAGCTCGTCCAGCGCGCCCTCCCCAAGCCCCCTCACGTACGCCCGCTGCTCGTCCTCCTCTCCCCACTCGTCGTCCGTCCTCATCGTGACTCTCAGCCTCGCCCTGTCAAAGAACGGGCCCAGCGCAGCCTTCATCCCCCCTTCTCCTTCTCCGTAATACTTTGGGTTGAAGATCCGTATCACCGTGTCAAAGCCCGCCAGAAACACTTGCTCCGGCTCGTGTCTCTTCGATGAAGAAGAAGAAGAAGAAGAAGAATACACCCCGCTCTCCCCAATGACCCTCGCCTTTTCATGAAAATACGGCATCTTCGTAACCGCAAGATCAATCTCAGGCCTCCTCAACACACCTCGCCCCTCCCCATCCCCTCCCTCTTCTTCCAAGCCATCAAGGCTCCTCAGAAGCTCATGCCCAAACCCATCCATCATGCCCAGCCGCAGCGGGAAACTCGCCGGCTTCGGCGCCTTGTCCGCGTTATTCACAGAAAGCAACAGCAGCAACCTCACGCTCCCTCTCCCATCGTCGTCATCCTCGTTCTTCTCCAGAGGCGCAGACGAGGCAGCAGCAGCAGCCCACTTCAGAGCAGACCGCGCCATCTCCGCGTGCGCCCTCGTCGGCGGATTGAAGCTCGAGTCAAGGACCACCAGGCGCTTCACTCTCGACGACGACGGCGGCGGCGGCGCTGCTGCTGGTCGTCGGGGACCGGGTTCTTGGTTGATGTGCGGCAGGGTGCAGAGGATGCGGAAGACGTCGGGCGAGGATTGGAAGGACGTGAGCGAGCGGGCGAAGAAGTCAATTAGGTGTTTGGGATTGGGGCGCATGGCTGATATGGACGTCGTTGCGTCTGAAGCTGCATTTGCCATGATGCTGTGAGGAGAGGGAATTGGCGATGTAAGTGCATGCGGCATTCGAGTGACATTCTCTCACAACATCACCCGAGGGGAGCCATGAGACGCGGGGCATTTTCGGCTCTTCCACCGAACAGCTCCTGACTAACGAGATGGAAGCAAACGCAAACACACTTCAAATCCCGACATGCTCACAAATTACGACCAGAGACGTCTAAGGTAGTTATTATCCCACAAACACGCAAGAAGAAAAAACGACGCTTTCATCGTTCACAAGGTAAATCTACCGCCTCATCGCCTGGCGCCCCGCCCATCAAAAATTCAAGAAGCCTGCTCCGAGCCCTGCGCATCCATCACCCCTCGCGAGAACCACTCGGCAATCGTCGCGAACCGATCAGAGCTGTTCTCCAGGTCCGCCTTGAATAGGTCGTGCCGTCCTGCTCGCTCCCTCTGTCCCTCCCTCATCTTGCGAATCACCTCGTTCTCGCCGGCGCACTTGGGACACTCAATCTCGGCGTCCTCGCCGCCGCCGCGGAGACATCGCTGATGGAAACTGTGCTTGCACATGAAATGCACCGCTGGAAGATCCAGGCCCTGTCCACAATCGGAGCACCGCGTGGCCTGGAACACGGCGGGCTTCGAAGCCAGATCCTCCAGGTCGCTGCGTCTCTTCTCCGTATCAGTGCGGAGCGTGGTGATCCGATGCCGGTTCTGGGCAATTTCCTTGCGCTCGCGCGTGATTGTGTCGCGGAGGTAGGGCTTGATCATCCCCATTGTGGCCACGCCGCCGCCAGAGGTCTGCCCGACAAGCGTTTGAACGACCTGCAGCGGAGCCATGAGCCCGTCCTTGTCAATCTTGGCCAGTATGGCCGCCAACTCATCCGGCCCAGCCTCTTCCAACACCCGAGGATCCGACGTGAGGTATGCCAACGCGGCTGAATACAGCTCTGGTTCTTCAGGCCCGTACTTTCGCAGCGCCTTCAACGCCCCGCGGGTGTCCTTTGCCGATGTGTAGGATCGGAATATGTCAGACAACAGCCCAGCTTGCTCCTTGACCAAAACGGTACCGTCTTGGAAATTGGACAAGTGTGACAGTAGCAACACGTTCGAGCTCTCCATTGGCACATGTTCTCCCTCAATGAGTTTCTTTGCCTTGGCCTCCCACTCTTCCTTGTGTAAGCTGCCCTTTTTCTCATTCGCCTTGTGCAAGTACATCTCAAACAGTGTAGTGTACAGATCAGTGCTGTGGACTGCCCTCAGCTTTTCTTCCTCCAGACATGCCTCCAGGAATGTGATGAACTCATCGGGATGGTCGATGAAGGACGAAAATGCTGTCCGGGGCGGCGGGGGAGTGTATTTGGGTATCGGGATGTCGTCTTCGTCAGGCACTACGACAGCTTCGTTTGGCTTCGTGCCCCCTGGCGTTCCGGTCGTGGGGCTCATGTATGAGGGCAAGACGAGGAGGTTGGTCAGGTTCTGCACCGCGCTGGCTGCTCCGGCGGTGAATCCTGTACTGCTCGTAGCCGCCCCAGAAGCCTCAATCGGCAGCACCACCGTCCGCCGCGGCCGATAGTTGCTGGTGTAGTAATCTACGAAGAGCTTTGTGGCGTCTTTGGGGCAATGCTCTATGAGGACCCTGGCGTATTTTTGCATGCACGGATATGCCTGGAGAGGTCAGTATTAGTCTCGAGTGAGAGGGGTGAGGGGGGTGGAACAGACAATTGTGGGATCTTGATGCCATATATAGTCCAACGCCTCGTCATAGCTCTTCGAGTCTTCGATCAAGATATCGACAACAAGCTCGGTCTCGCCATGCTTTTTGGCGAGATACGCCGCTTGCTGGTAGTAGCCACCTTGCCGGCACATGGTAATGGCCGTATCCAAATCAAACTTGAGGTCTCCTGGAGCCATGATGAACTCTTCCAGCTTCTTGATATCTTTGAGTTTGGCATAGCAGTTGAGCAGGAGTGTGGTGTGGTCGGATGTCGCCTTGCCGTGGTGGTGCAGTTTTTCCAAGTATAAGATCAGGTTGTGTATCCTTTGTGTGTCCAGAAACTGCGCCTCTTTGTCAGTGGTTGAACGTATGGCGCGAAAGGGGAAGTTGGGTGCTCATTACCTTTCGGATAACCTGAGAGGGCTCAGTGGCGTCGATGGCTTTAATGTACTGGTTCATTGCTCCATCATAGTCGCCCTTTTGGTAAAGGTGATCTCCAAATCGACGATAGATGAGACTCTGCTGTTCAACATCCATCCCAGAGTTCTGAGCCAGCTCAATGGCGAGGGGAAACATGTTTCGCTGGTAAAGCATCTCCAGACGTTGCTGAAGCGGTTTCTCGTGGTATCGGTAAATCTGTGAATGCCGTTAGCGCCCAGACACAGTTACGATCCGGAAGCCGGCTACCGCACCTTTCCTTCCTCTGTGATTGTAAACAGATCCCCCCATACTTCGAGAATGAATCGGACCGGGGAGATGAGCGTCTCTGTATGGCCAACCACCCGGAGATCCGGCTCCAGGAGAACAAAGGTCCATGCGTTAAACAGACCATCTGCCGTCGCCGAGCCAAATCTCCTCCGCAACGCTTCGGGGTCCCGACTGCTACTCACAGACGACGGACCCGCGACGGCGATGTAGTCGCCGTGCATAGCCACGAGGCGTTTGGGGGACTCGTATGCTCGGGGAGGCCCGCGTCCATCCAGCCTGTATGTGTATATGGCATCGTCTCTGGCGACAACAACGTCCTCTGTATTGGGATCGATGGTCATGCACCCCGCTGCGCAGCCAGAGTCCTCGATCGTCTTCGGTGGTGAGCCCTGGCCCCGTTTGGACAATGCAAGCTGCAGGATCCTCGAGGTTGTCGAGATGAAGAGCGTTGTCGACGTGTCCTGGGTCGTCAATTGGACGCCCGTCACGGGTTCCTCCGACTCGTACACGATGCGTTGCTTCGTTCCGAGGTCGTGTACGAGGTCTCCTCGGATGACAGTGACCGCACCGTTGGCAAAGCCCACGGCGATCTGGGTAAGGTCGTCGAGCGCAGCGAAGGCTGATATCTTTCCATTGGCGCAAACGTCAACACATACTCCCATCTCTCCGCCCATGATGTGCACGGCCGACTCACTGGAAACTGCCGCCTCCCGTTATTGATTGTCAGAGTACTGAGGCAGGTCGGCATATTCGTCTTCTTAACCAGCTTATCCAACGCCCAAGCCTTGAGAGTCGGCTCGCTGCTCATATCCTCCTAGCTCGATATCAGAATCAGCACATAAGCCCCCCGCAAGAGCACCAATTTAAGGCTCCTGTCGTCGTTGGAGGATGCCTCACCGCAATCGTCACCAGCAGGCTCGTCCCCTCGACCTGCCGCATATGCGTGATGCGCGCCTCGTGCGCCTGGAACCGCCTGACGACCTTCCACCCCTTGCCCACTATGCTGACGTATCCATCGCTCGAGCCGAGGAACAGGCTGTCGGAGCCCGCGCAGACGCTGGAGACGTCGTTGCTCTCGAAGAGCTGGCGAGTGTCGTCGTCGGGCAGCGCCACCTGCGAGACGTCGAAGAAGTCAAACGACTTCCACTGCGGGCTGGATTAGCTGCGACGAGCATGTACATGGTTTGGGGGAAAGGCAGAGCTGGGAGAGCCCGGATCTCCAGAGATCACGCACCGAGATGGCCATCTTGTCGCCTGGTTTTGAGAGTCGCTGAAGCGCTGCTCAGCGCACGATGACGATGGTGGGACTGAGGCTGGAGCTGTGGGAGCTGGAGAGCTTCAGGTCCCGGGTGAAGTCACCGCTAGAGGCCGATTGATAGGTACATAGATAGTGGGCGCCACAGTGGCTCGTCCCGCTAACGCTGCTGTAACAACAACACTTAGGTGCCCATTACAGCAACTCGGCCATTTCAACCTCCGTTTGGTGTTATCGAGTCAAGACAAATGATTGATCCAATTGCAATAAACCTCGCCTAACATCTTCCATGTAGCCATCCATCGTTGCTACCATTGAACCGGAACTCATCTTCTTCATCCATGTCTGATCAGGCTGCTATCTGCTTACTGGGTGCCTGATCACATGCACAAGTATAGGGACCCGTCTCTACCATCACAAAGGAGCAGGCATCAAGCTTCGGCTTAGTAGAGAAAAAGAATAATTGCAATTTGTAGGTTAAAGGGTATCACGTTTGTCACATCTTCGAAGTCTCTACCCCTCCGGTTCGAAATGGAAAAAGAAGACAGAGCAAAAACATAAAGAAAGAAGAAAAAGAAGGAAATGCAGCAAAAGGAAAAGGGGGAAAAAGGAAGCCAAAGAAAAAGAAACCCTCCCTAATCCAGCCACATATATAAGCCCGCTCTAATCAAACACGGACACAAAGTCCATTCTCCCAAACGCCTGACATTGAAAGAACTTGTAACGAAAAAAAAGGCCGCTCATGGCGAATGTTGCAGGTTTAGTCCTCCTTGGAAGCGGTTGTTAGCTGGATCTCCTCTCTGCTTTCGACAAGGCTTCGCTTATCAGGTACCTCTCGGGGGCTGGCGAGTGCAACGCTGCCGCTTATAGAGTCGGGGCGTCCGTGTCCCAGGCGGCCACTTCGGACGCTTGCACCGTCGCCTTGCTTAGCATAGAGACTGTTGCGCTCGCTGGGAATCGCCGGGGCCACCCCGGTTGCCGAGTATATGCTGTTCCGCTCTGCGCCGATCCTGGAAGCGTTGTGAAGGCTGGATGTTGGCCCGATGCTGGACGGGTCGATGTTGGCGCTGAGCACGCTCAGGGGTAGGCTCTCGCGACTGCCGCCCCAGAGCGACGACGGCGCAAGGGCGCGGACAGACGCATCGGTGTCCATCGACCGACGACGCCCTCGCTTACTCGACGACGCCAGAGTCAGGATGGAGGCATTGTCCGTGAGAAGGTTGTTGGCCGTGGCCGAAGCGTACGTCGTCAGATGGTTTGACGGCATGAGATGCGCCGGTATGGCGAAGCCGTCGGGAATGGCTGGCTGAACTGGATCGACTGGGTGATGCTGTGAGTGGGCGCCACGGGGGCCTGCCCGTGGGGGGCAAGAGATTGAATCGTGGTCAGCGTCGTCGCGAGCGACCTGACCGATGGCGAAGGGCTTGAGAATGTGCTATCGCCGCCTCGCCTGGATTCGTGACCTTCGCCAACCGTCCTGCTTGTTCTCGTCACTGTGCTCGGCGCGCGACTCGGTGCGATGACGGATCGAGGGGCGTCGGTTTCGGTCTCGGTCGAGATGGTCGTGGTCAAACTCATCCCGCCGGAGGTCTGTGGTGCACAGCCATCTGCCGAGTAGCGGGTTGGCGGATCTATCGTGGAGAGACTGCAGTCGGTACGGCCGGTAGCGAATGAATAGGAGCTCTGCTGGCCGTTGGGGTGGTTGTTGCTGACGTGCCCGGACTGAGGATACGGGTTGTTGAGCTTGGGGCCGCGTCGTATCCGTATGTGTCGCTTCTGTCGCTCGCCATCGGAGGACGACTTGAAGTTGGTGAGCTTCTTGACCCACGTCGAGAATGGTCTGCGCCGATGCTGTACTGGGCCATCTATGCAGCTGTCAGCTCTGAGGGCCGCGGAAAGCCGTGGAGGAGGCTGCTTGGGCTGAAACGCATGATGTGACGACGGGGCATGTTCGGGCGGAAAGAGGGAGGTGAAGAGCAAGGAGACGGTACCGTGAGGCGCTGGAATCAAGTCGGTGGTCGCCATCAAGGGCGAAAGAGGTGGACTGCCGCGGGCGCGGCTCCAGGAGACGGCCGGTGTGTTGTTGACGCGAGAGTAAACAAGGAGGTAGGTAAACGGGCAACGGCGTCAGGCAGAGATGGAGATGGAGATGGAGATGCGGATGCGGATGCAGATGGAGACAAGAGATGGGAATTGCACGGGCGAGACGGGGTTCGACGAGGCTACGGCACACGGGGGCGGTGGTCCAGCTGATTGGGGTCTCAGGGGCGAGGCTGCACAAGGGACGATGGATGCGACGAGCAGGACGGCCTTGCGGGAGTCAAGAGGCACAGGACGGATCGCGACAGAATTCGATACCCAGAATGGGCATCCAAGCATGCTGATGGTGCAACGCTAAGAGGCAATAGCGCCGGATCACGGTGGGAGCATCATTTCGGCATCCAGGCGGCTGTCACGTGACGGCCCAGGATCACATGAAGGAGAGCCCCGAGCAGCTGACGATGACGAAATGCCGCTGCCAAATCGGGCCTGTGGAGGGTCTGGGCTCCATCTCGTGGAATTGCTGGCTGCGCTTCAGCCTCTCGCTGCTGCAGCCTGCCGCCATCATCAGTTGCCAAACGGCGTCTCCGTTGAATCCCCTCAGATCTTGCGGAACTCTGACATTCGCGTCCCCGCGTTTCAACGTCCCTCCGCGGCACTTCTTCGTCGATCCTGACTCAGCCTGGCGATCGATGCCCGGAATGGTGGCGCCTCATCTTACTCGACCCCAGCCTGCGTCTCGATACTCGACAGGATCAGCCCCAGCTCGTCACCGCCGGGAGTCTCTCCAGCAAGTCCAGATTGGCTGCTGCTACTTACATACTGTATCGTACGCCAACTTCGGGCTTCCTCTCGACTACGTGTCATGACGCATCATGTGCCATGTCCATCAGGCCGCTGCCAGAGGATGTCGTGGGCAAAATCAGGTCCTCGTCGACCATCACTTCGCTGAACGGCGTCGTCTGTGGCCTTCTCAAGAACTCTCTTGATGCCGGCGCTACCAAGGTCAACATCGTTGTTGAGTATGGTCGCGGGAATTGTATCGTAGAAGATAACGGGCTAGGCATTGTGCCTGGCGATTTCTCAGAAGATGGAGGGCTTGGAAGATCATACTGTATGGTGCAGCTTCTGTGCGTGCGTGACTGTGATACTGACTGGTTCCTTTTCGTGTCAAGATACATCCAAATTCCCACCCCAACATGGACTCTATGGCCGACAAGGAACGTTCCTGGCTTCACTGTCTTCACTGTCTCTCCTTACGATCACGTCCCATCATTACCGTCACAACTCGCACAACTCCATTTCGATTCACCACGGCAAGCTGCTGAAGAGGCAGACGCCGTCTCCGGCCGGAGAGCGGTTCCACGCTTTTGACCACGGCACACGAATCACTGTTAACGACCTATTTGGCTCGCTTCCCGTACGCGTCAAGCATCGTGCAACGCTCTTCTCGGACCGGCCTGGGCTTGACAAGGAATGGGGGCGCCTCGTTCACGATGTCGTCGGCTTGCTCGTATCTTGGCCCTCTGGAGTCACCGTGTCCTTGCGTGAAACCAAGGGACAGCGCGAACTGCGCCTGAAGCCGCCGGACAATGCAAACATGGTCTCCAGGGCGTTGCGGTTCTTCACCCAAGCCTCACTCGCAGACTCTGGTGACGTAGATTCCTGGGTGCCAGTATCAGCGACCGCCGGCCACGTCACGATCAAGGGGTGCATTTCGCTGCAGCCTGTTGCCACGCGCCGAACTCAGTTTATGAGCGTGGGGATACTGCCTGTCTCGAACGAGTATGGAAGTAATGTTCTGTATGAAGAAGTGAACAAGATGTTTAAAGCTTCAAGCTTCGGAGGAGTTGAGCACCAAGAAGGCATGGCCGTTGACGAGACGGGGCCCAACTCTCAGAAGAGGAGCAAGGGGGCGGATCGATGGCCCATGTTTTATCTTCGAATCACACTGAAAGGGGCCGAGGATGTTTTTAACATGGACGATAATTCACGACACTCGCAGGGAGACCTTGAGAGAATCATAGGCGTATTGAGAGCCGTCATCTACAGCTTCTTGAACAAGCATCACCTGCGCCCGCAAAAGATTCAATCTTCTTCAGACAAGTCTTTGTTTTCGACCGCGCCGCGACGTAGCTCAGCCCGGGCTCCCAAGGGACGTCAACCCGCGCCGGCTGCAACTTCAACAGCTTCATCCTCGCAGAGTTTACCACCTGATCCCACGCCATCTCTACCAGACAGTCCTTTTGACGCCTGGGATAGAGTCAAGGTCGGCCCTCGAACTGAGCGGCGGCCGACAACGGAGGTGACGCAGCAGCATGAAACGAGATCAAGTAGCTCAGAACCGGTTATGACGGATAGGCTGATTGGCGAGGGAGGAAGGCTGCTCCGCAAACCTTTTGATCTTTCAGACCCCGTCAGTCCAGGCGTCAAGGGCAGAAAGCTTGACGACGCCGGTACGCAGAGTGAGCCCGAGATGGCCTCCATGACACTGGCCGAGCGTACAAAAAGAGCGGCAGAAGACTTGACACGTGCGGAGGTAAAACGTCCGAGGGTGAGCGGGTCAGGTGTCAAGGGTGGGAGGTCGACTGTGAGAAAAGAGGCGGTTGAGAAGAAGCCACCAAGCGAGTGGCTGCAGAGCATCCTCAAGTCGTGGAACAACCCCGTGTTTGAACCGACTCAGCCTTGCGTGCCACGCATCAACGACGACGCACCAGCGCCAATGCGTGATGCGGCAACAACTCTCGGCTCGCGTCGATGCTGCGCCGACGACAACGGAGGGGTCCGCTTCGAGGCTGCGTCCATGGGCTTGCAGGGTCGGGTGTCGCGATCGGCGTTGGCAGAGGCGGAAGTCGTCGCACAGGTTGACAGGAAGTTCATCCTGCTGAAACTTCCCCTGCGCAACGTGACGGACGGGCGAGAGCCGAGCAGCTCGTGCGCCCTTGTGATGCTCGATCAGCATGCTGCGGACGAGAGGTGTCGCCTGGAGGAGCTCACGGCGGGCTATTTCACGCAGGACAGTTCTGCTGGAGTCACCAGAGCGGTCGTCGAGGCTCTTGACAAACCCCTGATATTTGAGGTCTCGGAGCGGGAACAGGAACTGCTATCGCGGTATCAAGAGCATCTCCAAGCGTGGGGTATTCACTGTAGGATTGAGCGCCGAACAAGACCTTTGAAAGAAGCGCAGGATGGGTGCACGGTGATGGTGACTGCTCTCCCCCCAAGCATACTCCAGCGCTGCCGCACCGAGCCGCGGCTTTTGGTGGAGCTCTTGCGCAAGGAGATCTGGAGGCTCAATGACGAGGGGATTATCCCTGCGCGGCCGCACAGCGGCGGTGATGCAGATGGAAGGCCCACGGCGGATTTGCGTGGGTGTCCGAGAGGGATCCTGGAGCTGTTGCACTCGAGGGCTTGTCGAAGTATGTTTCAATCTCTCTATCCCTTTACTGACCGATTTCTGTCGTGCGTTTTGAGTATGAGAACTTGCTGACGATGGTGGTTGTTGTGTAGGTGCCATCATGTTTAATGATGCCCTTTCGGCGGAAGAGTGCGAGGGGCTCGTGAGGCGGCTTGCGAGATGCGCGTTTCCTTTCCAGTGCGCGCATGGGAGGCCGAGTCTGGTGCCGCTGGTTGATTTGGGAGGGGCTCGCGGGAGGGGATGGGATGGGGATGGGAGTGTTGATGTGAGGAGGTGGAAGAGGTGGATGGGGGAATGAAGATGTTGAGCATGTATATACAGGATGGCTGGGTCTATGCTGCGCACTTATAGGATCTGCTTCATGTTTGCATTGCTATGGAGTTTGGGATTAGAGGCCTTTGAGGATGATTCCGAGGTCGTATACGTCAATGAAGAGCCAATCTCTCTCAAAATACCATGGACGTGACTCATTAAACAACTTGGTATCCAACTATATACATCCAAAAGGACAACAACCCCGAGACGTCGTAACCCCCCCACGACGATCAAGGTACACATATTATGAAGCCCGCCTGACACACAAAAAAAAGAGATAAACGCCCGCAATGCAACAGTTTGGCCTCTTTTTGCCTTCCCGTATCCCCCTTTGTGAACCCAAGTAGAGAAGAAGAAATATGGTATAATGGGGGGGGGGGGGGGGGGGGGGGATACAATAGGGTAAGATTTTTTTCATACCAAGAAAAAAAGATGTAGTAGGAGGAGGGGGGATATTATACCAAAAGGAGGAGGGGGAGGGGATATATATTGGGAAAAAGGTAAGGAGCACTTTTTTCAGCCCTGCTTTTGCTTTGCGGCCTCTTCTTCCTTTTTGCGCTGCTCGGCGGCTTCTTTGCTCTTCTTGATCTCGTCGGGGGTCATTTTGACCCATTCGTTGATGTCGCGGTTCCAGCGATGTCTGTGAGAAGTTCAATGCGTTAGCGAGAATTCGTTCCAATTCCGACTCAGTTGGATAGAAAAGTAAAACAATGTGGTAAACGTGAAGAAAAGGGGGAAGAGGGGGCTGGTCTGTAAGCCAAAGCAAGGGAGGCGCTTTTCGCGGGGCTGACTATGCCAAGGCCTTCCAGCCTCGCATACTGACGACAGCCACTTTTTCCCTTCTCTTCCTCCCATTCTTCTCATCCACAAAGAAAGAAGAAAAAAAAGTGTCAACTCACCCCTGAAACTCCTCGACGACGAGGCTCTTGTCGCCGTACTCGGCGCGCAGAATCTCCTCAAAGTTGTAGGGGATGCGGGCCTTGACGCCCTCGAACTCGGTGACGCGCATGGGCCAGAGGTCCTGGCTGGCGTAGCGGTGCTTGTTCTTGCAGCTCCAGACGCCCGGGCGGTCGGCCTCGCGCTCACGCACGCCGGTGATGTCGATGAACATGCCGTTGGAGGTGTCGATCCAGCGGGCGTCGATGATGTTCATGCCGTCGCCGCGGTCAATGTCGACGTGGTGCGGGTTGACGTCGAGCAGGTAGGTGCGGGAGGCGCCGCTGTCGGCGTCGACGACGTGCGTGTGCTCGGTGCGGTTGAGGTTGTCGCCCAGCCAGGTCATGGTGGCGTTGGAGACCTGGACGTCGAGGTCGTAGTCCCACGGCATGATCTGGCCGTTCCACCACCAGCCCAGCAGCGTGCCGTGGGCCAGCCACGTCTCGACGCCGTGCTCGTGCAGCGTCGTCAGGTAGCTGCGGATCAGCTGCCGCAGCACGTCGCGGTGCTCGCCGTAGGGCACCTCGGCCTTGAAGTAGCGCTTGTCGTAGTGGCCCAGCGCCAGGCTGCCGCCGGGCTCATTGAAGTACTTGGGCGTCTTGGCGGCGGCGCGGCGGAAGTTGGATGTGGGCGAGGCGACGGCGGCGGAGGCGGCCAGGAGGAGCCATGTCCAGGATGAGGCTATCATGATGGGCGGCGGGCTGTGAGTGTTGCGGACGAGGGGGGGACGAGGCTGCGGAAGAGAGCAGTTTCGAGTAGAGGAGGCGAGAGAGAGTCGCGACTCCAGGTGACGAGGACGGCCGAGACGGGAAGCTGTGTGAGATCTGTGAACCCCTGATCGGTGAATCGCAGATGGACAATTGGGATGGAGCTATCGGGTCCCGTCGAGTAGTAGTTGTAGATCCAAGGGGTTCCTGTGTCCAGAAAAATAGTAGTACTATTCTTATTATCGCATGTAGATCGTCCGGGCTCGTTTCGAAGAGAGCAGTTCCAAGCGAGTGTATGAGTTCCGAGACAAAAAGGAACGGAGCAACTAATAGGGCGGAACCAAGGAAGTGAAAAGAGATCAAAAGAGAGAAACTAGGTACAAGTGACAACAAATAGGAGGAAGTGTTATTAGGAAAAAAGAATGCAAGAGTAAAAAACCAGGCAGAGAGACTAAGAAGGCAAAAAAGGGGACAGGGGAGAGACGAGGAGGAGGAGGCCAAGGTTGAGTGAGAATATGGGGGAGAACGGGCAAGGATGGATGGCGTGGTGGGTAGCCGTGCGCTTTTCGGTGGTGGTGGTGGTGGTGGTGCGCGTCCAGGTCGACAAGGACGGGATTGCGATGCCGGTGACTTTGCACCTTTGCGCGCGTGCCTGCAGGCTTTGCTGTTGCTGTTGCTGTTGGGCGGATGTAGCAGTAGTAGCAGCCGCAGCAGCAGAGCAGATAATGAAGCTCTGGCGGGAGGCTCAAGCTCGGATGAAACAGTGAAGCAGAATGCAGAAACAGTGAGAGATGCCAGGTGAAGAAAGAAGAAGATGGTAAAAGTTGACAGCAGCTCTCCCAGTGCATGAAACCACGCAATTGTCTGACCATGTACGGTACTGGAAAAGAAGATTGATAACAGTTCCCTTTTTTCCGATCCATCATTTTCCGAATCGCCTCGCCTTCTCTTCTTCTTGCTCTGACATTCGCCTCGTTGTTATTACGTGGCTGACAGCAGTATGACGGCGGCCAAGCGGCTGCAAAGGGTTTCGTGCCTTGTTCCACACCAACTTTCTTTCCTTCATCGACTACTATTGTACAGAATTCCCGTGAGGATTGTAGGAGTGTGGAATCAGCACGCTAATGCAGAGACGGGGGGGCCTTGGTGTGAAACCCGGACCAAGCGCTGGGCGAGGGTCATGCGGTGGAGTCTTTTGTTGGAGATGGGAGCTGCGTTGCGTTGCGTCGCCTCGCCTTGGCCTTGTCTTGGCCGGCCTGCAAAAGGACACCAAGATCCGGAGAGACGATGCTCTTCAGAATCATCGATATCATACAGTTATCGTACACCCAATCTTGAACCAGCAGCAGCCATTGTCCGCTGAAGCAAGGTATCTCTCACATCTCCCCTATTTCCCTTCCTCTCTACCTTATCTTCTTCTTCCACCTCCAATCCCCCCCGATCCCAGCTCAAATTCCCCAGAAACGCCCCAAACCCAAGCCAAGCCCATTTCCTCCTCCCCTCCCCCCAAAAAATCCCCACGCTAATCCCCTCCCGGCAACCAGTCGTGTGCAGTTTTCCCTCTTGGAAATAAAATTCCTCGCAATACAACTGCAACCCCCCCCTGCGTCATCGCCCGCAAAGCCACAACGACAAGCCGCTATACCTAATCCCCCCCTTCTTCGAGCCGCGTGTCTCCCATCCAATCAATCCGCTCCATGGTAGCCTCTACCTGACACCACTGCGACACATCACGGGGCGAATCAGGTACCAGAGACTTTTCAATTCTCCGGTCGCACTTCTTCATTCAAATCTCCCCTTTGTCTGTTCCTTTGCCGCTCCCCTGCCCCCTGTCTCTAAAAGGCTCATTTGTCCAAAACCTTACAGAAGGAAGATGCCGACAAGAACAAGGCTTGGGGAAAACGGCAATCATTTCCCGTTTGTCGTCTAGCATGGCCGCTTGAACAATGAGAAACGGGCACACGACACAACGCAAAGACACGTTACTTTCTTGCTTTCGGACAGATGTTTTGAGGCAATCTGTCACACTACATATTACCTTACAACAACACGGGAATAAGAGAATAGCAACAGGGAGCTTCCTTGGTTGCTTGCTATTATGCTTGCCGTCTTTGCTTTCAGAGATGACGAATGCATACATACAGTAGTATTTCATACTCCGTATCTTCTTCAATCACGCAGTCCTTTCTGCTCGTCCCAGCCCATCTGCCCATGTCGCACAGCGCGCGTCCCCATCCAAGGCAAATCCGTGCCGGTTCTGTCTACTCCATAATAAGGTAACCTATCTATCTATAGCATATATGACTCCAGACCACTGGCAAGCATCAAGCGATTTGCCCATACTAGTACATACATACCCATCACCAAGTTAGAAAGAACCCACAAAGGCCCTGTCGATAACTCCGTAGAAATTCTAGAACCACCATCCGCTCCCTCGTCTACCAGACCTGAGAACGCGTATACTACTACTTACTACCTAGCAAATGCCTGCCTATCTGGACTACAAAGTTCGGCACGCGGTAGCCTTTTTAGACTGCTCCTTTGCATGCCGTATTTTCCGGGAAAAAGAAAAAGCATCCACAACTTGCAACCCTCCCTCCAAGCCGCAGCGCCTACGCCAGCAAAGTCGGGAGGAAAATGCCGATCGGCCCGGCAATTCTGTCGTAAGGCCTTGTGTTTGGTGTCGGTTTCAGTTGCATAGCATGCACGGGTATGTAATAGCATTTCGCATTCATTCGCTGTCAAATCGATGCATCCTGAAAGACAAAAAAGAGAGCCGTTTCATCAAGATGGAAGAAATGTATCATATATATATATATGGTGATGGAAACGACAAAAAAAAAAAGAGCAAAAAAATCAACCTCTTAAGAGGCTTGGCGGATCTCTCCCGCCGGGAATTGAACCCGGGTCTCAAGCGTGACAAGCTTGCATACTGACCACTATACTACGGAAGACGTTTCAGGCGTTGCGCGCCTGTTGTAGCGGATCACTGTTGAAGGGACGCCACTTATTTTGTCTTATAAGGCTCGAGCTGCTGCTTCGGATCAACAGCCTCGCTAAGGCGCAAGAGAGGCAGCAACTCGCAGGACAAGTTTATCAACACAAGAAATTGCCAAGAAACGGGCATAGCGAAAAGAAGACAAGGCGCACAGGAACCATGTTGTCGGGTATCGTCGAGTAGCAACTCTCTTCAACGCATGTACACGCTACAATTTATACACTGTGAAGAAAACAGAAAGCCCCAAGAGATAACAAAAACACATGCTTCTCCAGAAACATCTCTACCACGCCCATTCCCAAAGTCCATCATTTCTATTCGTCATCACCATCGTCATCACTCGTTTTGACAAATAGAAATGACCAACTTTTGACGACAAACCCCATTGTTGTTGAACCATCACTACCGCGCAAACACCTTGACAATGCCGTCGCCCCCTCCGCTCACCACCCACTTGCCGTCCTGACTCCATACGCATGTGCAGATGCCTTCGCCACGCATCACCCGGTGGCTTGTAATCTCTTGGATACATGTCCTCTTCTCCAGGCTCCAGAACCGGAGGGACGCGTCGTGGCCGGCGCTCACCAGCTCGCGCCCGTCTGGGCTGAGCGACAGGCTGGAAATGGCGTCGGGGTGAGCCAGCATGTTGTATGTACATTGGCCTGGAACATGTTAGCACTCTTTCACCTTTATCGCATCGGGACTTAACATACCGCTGTTGGCGTCAAAGAACCGTACAAAGCGATCCTCGTGGCCAGTAATGATAGTGCCCTCAACGCCGGAGCCAGCCATTGACCGTCCGCCCGTCGGTCCTCCCATGGCAGGATCCTCCTCCCCGCCGATATTGATCCCGTGATGCTGGTTGGCCTGGTCCAGCCCGATGGTCGTCGCCACGACCGCATTGACGCTCGTCTTGATTGTGCCGTCGTACGTCTCCAAGCTGTCCATGCTGCCAATCTGCTCACCGGTCTTCGTATCGTACACCAGGACGGCCGCGTCCGAGTACGAGACCACAAACGTCTCTCCCGAGCTTCCCAGAGGCGTGATACATGTCGGGCTGGCCTTGGAGCCATCTTGCCTAGATATAACGTGGACGAGGGTATGGTTAAAGGGCGAGTTGGAAGCCACGGTAGGTTGTGGGGTGTTGGAGAATCCGCTGCCGGAACTCATAGAGTTGCCACGCACCCGTCCTCTTCCTCCCGATGGGGGCTGAGGTCTAGGCTGCGGCGAGGTCAACTGAGGAGGCGCGCTGACCGACCAGAGCCGCACGGTGCCATCTGCCGCGCCAGACACGAGCAGTATCCGGTCAGGGGTTCCGTAGTTGCTGGAGCTGCCAAAGACCGATCCTAGCGTCGTCGGCAGAACGCAGAGCGCCCACACGGCATCCGTATGTCCCTCCAGCGTCCCCTTGGGATCAACCCTGCCGCGTTCCCAGACCCGAACAGTGGCATCCTGGCCGCCAGAGAAGATCCAGCCATCGCCCTGAGCACGGCCTCCGGTGGAAAAGTTCGGCGCAGGTGACCATGCCGCAAGTGACAACACGGCCCCATTGTGGCCGCGGTGTGTAAAGTTTGCCGTCACGTCCAGATCTGAAGCCGCATTGTTGGAAGCGGCAACGTTGCCGTCTAGCCGTGGAATATGGAACCGCTTGATCATGCCGTCATCGCCGGCTGTGCAAATCTCGGGCTCCCCAGGGCTGCCACCACCCGAAAAGATGACGGTTCGGACAGTATCGAGATGACCTCTCAGCCCAAATCGCAGCTTGAAGCTTGCGCTCTCGGCCTTCTGAGTCGCGCCCAAGTCGTGGTCACTGCCGCGCCTCTTGGACATGGAGCTCTTTCGCCGGTGAGTTCCCGGACCCCGGCTTGGGGACTTTGACAGGTAGTCGGCGTTGGGGAAGGCATCGGTATCGGATCGGTAAGACGTAGGTTGAGACGTCGGCTGGCCAGACGTCGTTTCCGGGAACGAGCCATCTGGGAACTCCCAGCCCTCAGGGTCGGGAGCAGCAGGCGGCTTCTCTCTCAGCTCGACAGACTCCTCCAATCCGCCCATCGTTTCATTTGAGTGGTTAGGTCGCGGCATACCGTCTTCGACGGGGCGCGTTGTAACTGAGATGGGCTGCTGCTGTTGTTGCTGTTGCTGTTGCTGCTGCCACTCGTTTGAGCTGTGAAACAGAGACGACTGCTGATGCTCATTCACGGAGCGCCCCATTTGGGACTGCATTTCAGGAGCGTTTGGGCCAAACTTGGACGGCTGCTGCTGCTGCTGCATCTGCGGTATAGAATTTGGGCCTTGGTGCTGTCTTGAGTTCATGTCCTGCATGTGGTTCGGGCCCTGTCGCATGGGAAGCTGGTACTGCCGTTCCATGAGCGGCGCCCCCGGCATACCAAACGCCTCGGCGTCTCGTAAATCTTCCAGCATCGGCAGCGGCGGTGACTCGCGCGGTGGTAGAGGATTCGCAGGGGTGACCATGAGATACATGAATTCGGACTGGCACTGGTCCAGGAACGTCTTGAGCTCCGTCCGCTGCGTCTCGTCGTCGGTCCTCTCGACTTGGACGCCTTCAACGCCCGGCACTGCTTGGTTCTCCGACGAGGCTGATACTACGTGTTAGCAACAGCTAAATTCCAAAACCCCATATCGTCGTAGGGAAAAGGGCATAGAAGGGGGCGTCCTACATCGCAGCTTCTCCTGGATCCTGGCGGCGCGGTCATTCTTGGCAGCTTCTTCAGCCTCTGCAGCATCTGCGCCCTTGAGCTGCGCGGCCTGGTCTTTGATCTTGCGCTCGAGGATGGACACGTATTTCTTCAGCGCCTTCTGCGTGGCGTCGGCCCTCCTCGCCTGGCCCTCGAGGTTGGCTATCCTGCCCTTCATCTCCTGCTTCTCAATCTCCCAGGCATTCCGGTCGCGCTCATGTCTGTGCCACTCGGTCTGCAGGAAGCGCATCACGCCCTGCAGCGTATATTCCGTGGCCTGGGGCTGGTTGGGCCCATTGCCCTGTAGCGCGCTGTTGAGATCCATTCCGCCAATGCCGTTGCCAATGTTCGAGCCCATTACGGCGCGCCAGGTTCAGCTGCGAGGGTGCATCGAAGAGTCGAGAGCTTCTGTTCAGTTGCGCGCGAGGAAGAGCTCCCCCAAGCTGGGCCTCAGAGGGGCGGCAATCCAGAGGCAGGGCAAGATGCAGAGAGCTCCCACGCGCCCTGAGCACTCTGGAAAAGGAAGAATCAAAGCTGCCGCGGCGTGTCTCGTGTGTTCGGCTCACTGTGTCCGCAACTGACGTCGTCCCGGCGCGTGAGTCGGCCGCTGCGGTGAAATGGCCTTTGTTGAGGTGATGCGTCTCAACATTCAGGTTCGACTCGAGTTCTTGTGCACAAGCTCTGGCGAATAGGTGGCCGTATGCCGTCCCTGTCGTTCTACCTAGCGCTGCTAGGCTGGGGTACTGGCCAATCAGGGCGCGCGGCTGCCCGTGAGGCCGCAAGGCATCAACCTTTATCGGCCCCCTGAGGCTGCAGCAACTGCAGCTTGATAGCGGGGTCCTTTTGGGGGACTGTCCACTGTAAGAAACCGCTGCACGATCATTGATGGTAAGGTTGTGCTGCTTTGGCGAGAGTAGCATCGATGACGCCGTTACGCGGATATGCTTACATCAGCTTGAAGATGGAGCATGTTGATGTCCGAGATCAAGGGAGTGCAGCAGAAGATGCCGGAGCTTCCACAAAACGCACACATCGATTCCTGTCATGGATGACTGTCAAAATAACCAGATATTCACACCAACTCAAGCGTCTTCATATCGGCATCTTCCCACCACTCTATCCCATACGTCTTCCCAACTCCTATCCTATAATAACTGCCATCGTTCCTTTGCCGCACCATCAACACCCAGTAGTGTCGAAGCTTCTTGGACACAGTCGTTCCAAGGCGTCTCTCAGCTTGCTCGTCTCGTCGGCTGATGGTGCCCATCAAAGCGAGAGCCAGAACTACTCCAGAGGTGGCATCTTCGGAGGCGAGGTCAAACACGGTCCATCCGATAGGGGCGCCATCTTTGTCCAGGACGAATTGAGCCATGGAGCTGGTCAACTTGGCGTGGGATGATGCTATATCCGCGAGAATGGCTGCAGTGACGGGGTGCCCTTCACTCTGAAAATCCATCACCATTGACACCCTTGACACGCGTTTTGCTCGTGCTTGCATGCTCAGTCGTCTCATGTCACCGTCCTTGAAAGCGATTGAGCCGCATTGATTCTTGGCTCTGTCAATAGTCAGATATCGGACACCGCACGGAACGTGAGCCCACGTCCAGGTTGGCAGCTTTAGAGGATCCGAGACGGCCGACCCCTCTATTCTCCTGGTGACCTGCCAGAGCAGTTGGTTGGGAAGAGACTCTTTCCACACGCCAAAGGCATATTCGCAGGCAATCTTCTTTCCCAGTTCCATTCGCAGCCCTTCCAGTGCAATCAACCTGTCCGTTGCAAAGGTCAATTGGCGGTCGCTGTACTGCTCAACGACATTCTTCCAGCGTGTGTTCCGCGATACGCTGTAACATCGCTCGCCTGTCTCGCGCTGCGTGATGGCTTTACATGACCAGATGATGGCTCCTTTGGTGAAGAAAACGATGCGCCTGGACAGGAGCCACTCCTGGGTAGCCCAGGCGCGGCTATTGAGTGCACCAAATTCCGGAAACGTGTTGGCAGCGGTGTCACGTCGAATGGTTGCAAACACCTGTATCCCGGACGCATCGCCTGCTTCTGCGTCCTTTTCACACCCCGAGAAGAAGTTCTGAATCTTTACAGAAGCAGGCGGTGAACAACGAGGGAAGAGGAACCCTTCCCAGCAACCAGGAGTGTGAGAAGCAGCTATGGTGGTTTCGGCCTGCTCGTATATCGATCCCATACGCTTGGACTCTTTCACCCAGTCCTGATGGTCATCTTGCACAATGCAGAGCGAGTCGATCCAGACATAGGCGAGGCCGATGTTGCGGGTAACGGTGATGGCATCCTGGAACGTTTTGGGAATCGAAGCCCAAGGAATGTGCTGAAGATGACTATGGAGGTTTGCTTGAGTGGTCTTGAGGGGCTGCCTCCCAGCAGAACCCCAGCAGTGGCTCAGGGTTGCATATCTTCCTCGTCTACCCTCTGACGGCAATAGTCTCACAGTATTCCCAGAAACAAGAATGACTCTGCTGGGTAGCTGTGGAAGCTGAGATTCGTCAATGACACTTCCTGAAAGGGTTTCCCAGCAGCACGCATGATCCCTTTTACATGCGTCTACCCATCTCCTGAGCAACGAGACCGCTTCATCACACTCCGGACTCTTCAGTGCGGGCCTGCCTACGATATCATGACGGCCATGTGGGCCTTTGCCTATCTTTAGCTGTAAGTCGATTGTCGTCTCGCCCATACCTGTCACATGAAAGCTCACGTACGCTGCCCCTGGGTGTAGAGCCGGATCTTGGCCTGTATCAGCCGTCCAGTGGTTGCCTCGGTAGCAGAGACTTTGAACCCCGTCAGGTGCGAGCCCCCGGTCGGTAGATCAGGGAACGTCGATCCCTGGGAATCTGATTTTGGCTCGAGAATGACGGCATCCGGAGCTAGTGAAAGCCTCGCCAGCGGATCGTGAAGGCTATTGCACGATGAACGAAGCAGAGCCTCCTGAATGAGGGCGCACAATCGGCATTCTGATGCCGATCGAGCCAGAGCAGAGCCGTCGTCTAGCAAGACCATGCCCTGCCTGGCTCCCAGACGGGACGCCAGGCTGGCGGGCAGGCCTCGCCTCAGAGCGCCAAGGGAGATGGAGCCGCACCGCTCGCACAGCTCCATGATCCGCGTTTGCCCAAGTAGCTGCTGGCGAACACCAGCCACCATTCTTCTATCGAGGACAGTGGCTGCTTGTGCTTCCTGTGCCGTTGCGAGGCGGCTGATGGTTGTCTGAAGGAGCAGGTCGTTGACTAATTACTACTAGGTAGTCAGATGAGGGAGCTACCCGGTTGTGGCATGGCGCCCCGAATAACCTTGGCGGTAAGCCAAGTCTCAAAGCCTCCGATCGAAGCTCATGATGGCTGCTCCGGATAGGGAATGAAGCGCATCATGTGATGGCTTGGGCTTGGATAGTAGGCTTTCCGATCCAACAGTGCAGAGAACGGCAAGCCCGGTGAGCTGCAGAGCGGTGGATGACGGCAAAGAGTCTGATGAACGACAAGATTCTACCATTTGAGTCGAGCCAAGAGAGGACCTAAGAATGAAAGGCGCTGCCTTCATCCTACCGACTTCTTCAATCTCGCCTCTTACCACTTGCTTGCTGAATTTCTCTTACTGAGGGTCTAAACGGGCAGTAAGTGAAGAATTTTCCTATTCTTTTGTCTTGTGTCTTTCTCGATTTTTTTTTTTTCCCTCAAGCTGCCGGAGACGAAAAGCTCAGTAATACAGCTCTCGGACAGCTGAGATGAGGTGACGGGATGAACATAACGTCAATGGCGCATAGCCTCAGCTCCGACAAGCCCGGCAGTTTCGGGAGGAGGTGCGACACCGAGAGCCGCCTGGAAGCTGAGCTACTTACACAGCTAACAGCTCCCTGAAGTAGTATCTAGTTCCTTATTCTTACTGTGAGTGCGGGAAAACAGAAGATTCGCAGGAGCTGAGCTTCCGGGTCGGTTTAACACATGTCAAACTTGACAGAGTTCTGACATGAGCATCCCATGTCGCCACTTACATGATCGCAACTCACGTCACGTCAAAAGAACCATGTTTTGAAATTTATCGCACGTCATGTATATTGATTAGATTCAGATACATAATTTTACAAAAAATCAATCAATAATTGTTGAAGTAGCTTGACGAGATATTACGGTTTAGGAGCTCTCGTCGAAGTGTTGACCAAACCTCAAGCTTGAAGAGCCAGTCTCTTTGTCTTCGTGTACTTCTCCCACAATCAAACAACCGTGCCTCTCGCACGATGGGTATCAACTAGAGAAGGCCTCAATACCACGTCTCAAGCCCGTTGCGCCTTAGACAACAGTGCCGGCGGTGCCATGGGGGTGTACCGTCGCGCCCGGCGCTGCTGGTGCTGTAGGTGCTGCTGGCGCTGCTGGTGCTGCTGGCGGTGGTGCGGTATTGCCGGTGACACCAGTATCTCCAGAAACACCGGAAACGCCAGAGGCTGGTCGTTCTTTGGTGTGGTGGTGAGTGGGCTCATTGTCCAGAGTCCGTCGGTGAGCTCTGTAGAGCAGGGCTTCAATGATGAGATTACATAGGATAAAGAAGCTGGTCGGTGTGTGAGCTGATGAGAACAGTTACAACTAGGAGAGGAGAGACGATCGTTGAAAGGGGAGAACAAGGTCAGCTTACAAGGCGAGGAAGGTAAATGCTTCAACCGCGTGCTTCCTGCCACATTGTCCACCCACGGGAATGCCCCTTCTGCATCTATGGTGACTCCATCTCTGAGCGGTGAAGATGAATGCCGTGAGCCACAAATAGCTAAAGATGAGATGGAGGGGACTCAGATGCCCTCCGTATCTTGGCAACCACGGGGCGGCCATTCCAATGAGGTACACCACCATTGTGATGACAGCCTGGGGATAATCATGTTAGTTCATTGACATCCACGAGACCAGAGAAGACCAAGTTGAAGTGGGAATAGACGAACAATGACTTCAATGTAGACGATATCCACGCCGCGGTTCGAGAAACGCTCCAGGAAGTTGCCTACGATACCAACGACGATAATGGAAGAAATGAAGGTCATAAGGTAGCAGAAGAAGGAAGCTGCTCGAAGAGCAGTGTTCTCCATGCGATTGGCAAACCGCGCCATGTTGAAGATCTTCGGGAGGTTATCTTTGGTAGAATGATACCTAACGGCAGTCTGTCCAAGATAAAGAAATTAGAAAAGGGAGAAGAAAAAAAAAGAAAATGGATGAAGCGCAGGAGCTGTGGTAGCTTCTATATAAGTTGAAGTGTCAATGACAAAACATACCTCAGGCTGATCTCATGACAGCCCCATTCGCCTCACAACACCATCTTTACGTCACAGTGCCAAAGTACATGTAGCCGTCCGCACTTCTCGAGACCAAAAAAATGCTTGGCTTCAACAAACTTTGGCCATTATGAAGATAAGAGAAGGACATCTCCCGAGGGAATGCTGAAGTTGGGGCCGGGTGGCTTGTTGGGCCGGGTAGCTAGCATTGCTGTAACAGAGCAGCCGCCCTGCTTTAGGGCGTGGGTGTCATGCTTACAATGGAGAGTCGCAGCAGCCACATCATGCCAGCGGTGTCGAGACCCCCTCCCAAGGCCGACATCTACCAGCATGTATTGGAATCAAGTGCCCGGGTTGCTTAAGTTGCTCCTGTAGCTTTGTCGATGGCCCGGGTTTCCACGCGAGTTTGTTTTGTCTTAAAACGTCCTGGGGACTTGTTTACAGAGTTGGTCGGATGGGTAGCTCTGCCGTTCGCTCCGAGACGAAGCTGCAATAGAGCTTATCATACGATGGTGGGTGAGATTGTGTCAATGTCTGGTGCTTTCATGCTTCTAGTTGGATGTGATGAAAAAGCTTGGTAGCGGCTAGGGCTCACGCGATCCGATGCCTTGAAGCCATTGTGTTGGCGAGATTGATTTGCGGCTCGGTAGGCGTTTGTAGATGTAGATCGAATCAAGCTTGTGCTGCTGATGGTTGTACTTTGTGAAACCTCCTACATTTAAAGGGGGGGGGGGGGGGGGATTTGCATTCAAGAAGCTGGGGGTGAGCGTTTTTAAACAGAACCAAAGTGCTGTCCCCATCAAGTTGAAGTGAGATGGGGGGAGGTTGGCAATCGCCTGACGTTGGTATTTTATGCGCGGTTCTTTGTTCTTTTGGTTGGTTTCCGAAATGTTTCTGCACCTTATTCTTGGACTGAGACTCTTGTCTTTGTCTTGCGTGATATGGCATGTATACTGCCTTGCAAGAAGAGGCGATTTTGTCGTTGATATACCCATTTGTTCTACGATTGATAGGGTACATGATGCGTAGGTAAAAGACGGGTCTGGTACCTATCGTCTCGGTATTTTCGGCTTACTTTTAATTACCTGGAGAAGGTGTTGATGGGAAAATCCTGGCTGGAATCCGTCTTTGCCGTGATTCATAGTAATTGGCGAGTGGGTAGTTGGCTTCTAGAATGCGAGTGTAAGTGAGGTTGTAACTCGGGGACACCTCGCGTTCACATGGTACGATTGTGTTTTTTAGGAGTTGTGCGTATAAATGACTGAGATCCCCTGAAAATTGGTAAAGCAAAGAGAGAAAAAAAAGGGGGGGCTTAGTTTCACGTTATCCTGACGAATATATAGAACTTCTGGCATGTGAAGGAGGCAGGGCAATAAGGATTACGCGATCAAGCGAAGTGCAGCAATGAGGGCATCAACACTATACTACGCTCTTCAAGTTTGCAAATGGCGCAAACAAGTTTTACTTTGTGTCGGTCAATCCGTCGACAGGGCATACATGCAATCCCAGAACGCCCAGAATGCTGTCCAAATAAGAGTCGTTCGGTTGTGACGTATCTCGTATGAGGTAAGGTATCTCAAGACATCCACCTACCGAGATGAGTGAACTATCCCAGACACCACACAAGCTATACTAGAATGCAACAAAGGTAAGAGTTAAATACGGATATTAAATAGTAGTAGATTGCGGCGCTTCTTTGGTTACCATCGATGATGCCTGAATTCAGGGTAGGTAGGTAGGTAGGTGGTGACAACTTGCGGTGACATTTTACGACTTACACCGGCTGGTTTTGGCTGTACAAGTATGAGGCGGCCCAGAATCTCATGCCCGACTGCATTCGAGCTCTCCAACCCCCTACAAGAGTTTTGAATCGTAATGTACAAGTCCCGGAAAGCTGAAGCGGGAAGAATCAAGTGTGTGCTTTCGGCATTCAGGACATGCGCTATCAACCCGTCGCTTCACGGCGTCACCTCTGATAGCAACATTGAAGAGTTTGTCCGTGTATCTTCAAGTGAAAATACCCTCGACTGATGCCTCCATCCAGGCACTACTACGAGTAATACTTGCAACGTCTACGACTAATAAGGTAATACCAATCAGTACCCTCGTCGTCTGTGTAACCCGAGAAACGGGCAGTGCCAATCGTTTGTCTCTCCCCTGGCGGCAAATCATTTACCCCGCCGTTCGCCAGCAAACAATCGCAGCCACCTCAGCTTTGAGGCCCTATAAAATCATCCAGCAAGGCACATGGACGCTAGGCACCGACTTGGCAGTAGCAGCACAGGTACGATACAGTATCTCTAGTATCATCCGACCGCCTTGGGTCTTATCGCGGCTGAACCGACTCCATCCATCGTGACCGTGATCACGACGATAGTAGATGCTCGTGCTGAGAGAGCTCTGCACCTGTTGGGCCTCTTCTTCGTCCATGCACCGAAGCTTCGCCTCCCTCTCTGCTCTCTGCTGTACAGTACATACAAACATACGGCCACTACGCGGACCACTTATTCTCAGCAAGCAGCAGCACCAGCTTCGGCATCGGCATCAGCAATCAGCCAGCGCCAGACCCAGACCCAGACCCAGAGCCCCGGCTGTTTAGCCTCCGTTGCTTAGCTCGCCAGCATGGCCTCAGCGTCCTGGTCCCAGCGGCGGCGGCGGCGAGATGAAGACGACTACATTCCCTTCGGACCGCCTTCGCTGCCCAGCACCCAGACTCACCTCGACACCATGGCGTCGGCCGACCTTGGCTGGCCACCGCCCGTCACCATGTCCGACTCGAGCGACGACGACCTGGCCGACCACCGCGCGGCCGCACGACACTTTGCCCGCCGGAGCCAGCTGCCGCCCGGCATCAACGATGGCTTCATGACACGGTCCGCCGACCGATACTCGCCCGACATCTACTCGGTCGCGTCCGATCCCGACCCCCCGAGCCAGGCGCCGATGATGTCCGCGCTCGACGCCGGCATGCAGTCGCAGTACGCCGGCAGACACTCGCAGTACTACGCTTCCCGGACGCCCAACCCCGGGCCCCAGATCAAGCCGCATCTGTCGTCCCTCGATATCCCACGCCGCTACGGCAGCAATGCCATCCTCGACATGTATGCGCTCACCTACGTCAGCGAACCGGACCCGAATCTGCTGTGTCCGATTTGCCACGACCCCCTCGTCGATCCCGTCACGACGCCGTGCGATCATACCTTTTGCTACCGCTGCTTGCGCAGAAGCATGGCGTCGAGCCCTGCGGGCGGTGCCTGCCCCATTGACAGAGAGCCTCTGCTGTGGACAGACTGTTCCAGCTCTATACGGCTGATCCGCACTCAGCTTAATAACCTGATCGTCAAGTGCCCTCACCACGGCAGAGGCTGTGAAGAGGAGATGAGGCGGGAGGTGGTGGAGCGGCACGCCACTGTCGAGTGCAGCTTTCGAGAGTTCCCCTGCCCGGACGCCGACTGCGAAAAGACAATTCGCTACAAGCCGACGGACGACAAGTGCCACCATCAAGAGGCCAGTTGCATCTTCTGCGACGCCATCATCGAGGACGCCGACCGCGATATCCACTTGCTCCAGTGCCCCAAGAGCAAAACCCGATGCGCCGACTGTTGGTCGCTGATTCTCCGCGAGCAAGAGGACGGCCATCGAAACCTAGATTGCGACGCCATCGAGGTGGGATGCCGATTCCAAACCGCCGGCTGTCCGGTGAGGGTTCCGCGCGCGCACCAAGAGCTCCATGCCCTGTCCTGCCCGTTCCACCCGGATTCACCATCCGGTGCCATCATACGCAGTCAGCGTGAGCTCATAGAGACGTACAACAGCTTGGGAAGCCAGCTCCGCCACCTGCGGGCCAGGCAGGAGGAGACAAGCCGGCGGCTCGACCACGTCGCCGGGCCGGCTCTGCGCCCGGGTGACCCGGGCTTCAGGGAACCAAGGCCGATGCCAGACCTGGATGCCGGCTTCGAAGAGGTGCACCACAACCTGAGCAATCTCGAGGCTCGGCAGAGCATGTGGATGGTCACCCAGCTCATGCCCGTCCGGGAAGAGATTGTGGAGCTACGCAATACCAACAACATGCTTCGCATGCAAGTTAATTACCTTTTAAGCCGCGTCCGCGATGAAGGACAGCCACGACCGACATCTAGCGGAACGACAAGGCCCACGTCGATGGGCTCCGACACGGTGGCGCGGGAGCCGATGCCTCCCATGATGCGCCAGAGACGGCGGTCCTCCGCTGCAGACGTTGACCTTCCCCGATTATAGATAGCGATTCCCTGCTCTTTTTTTTCTTCTTTTTGTCAGGTAATGAACCCATTTGGAGCGATACTGCGATGATGAGCACGGGCTTTCGCCGAGCAAATACATTAAACACGGCGTCTAAAACTAGGAACAATTTGCTGGGCTCTGTTTGTGCCTTGCTTTTCTTTGTCTTCTCGAGGGATCATGGGAGCCATCCACCTTGCTAGTTCTGGCATTCCCAGGCGAATATGCGCAGCTGCTTCTACTCCTTGTCAGATTGGTGGAAATGAAGGAATAGAAGGGGGGAGGGAAGGGTTTATCCCCCTCAGCGTCTGGTGCTATCTATTCTTTGGTGTCGACAACTCCGCCATCCCACGCAAATGGAGCGAGTGCGAAGATCGAAGATCGGGTTTACGGACGGGAGGAGGGGAGAGAGATCCGCACCTGGGCAGATCAAGATGAATGCTGACTTCATTTGCCAGTCCCGTCTTCTACAGAGGCCGATCTCGCAAAGCCTCCGATGACTGGGCAACTCTCAGGAAGCGGAGTTTGGGGGTTCGCTGGACCTTGACATACGAAGTAGCACTAAATTCATGTCAATATAACTGCATGTCTGTGGTGGCTGCGGAGTTCTGATGCAGCTGTGGACGGTGCTAGTAGTAGAAGCAGCCGGAGCATGGCTGTGAGGCAATTCAGATATCTCAACACATGAACTGTGATGGCCCAAGTTTCTTTTCTTCCTTGATCACGATGCCTTTTATCTGCGAAATTTCAACAGAGTGTCTTTGAGCAAACTCCGAGCGAAGCAGTAAGCAGATGGTGATGCCTCACTCTAACCTACTTGTCCGCTTACTCTTGTTGCTTGACGAATAAGACCACAGCAGCCGCTTACCAAAGCATGATTGGCTGCTCCCACTAAACGGCAACTCCAATCAAGTCGACATACTAAGGCTATCAGGACCTACGAAACGGCACGAAGCCAGATGAGCAAAGAGACCAGTCGCCTCTCAACCATCTTCCTGTAGCCGCTGGCGAGGCTCAGTTACTCGACAGCAAACACTAGCGCGCCCGGCCTATTACAGGGGCTGCCCGCTGAAGCCGTCTGCTAGCACATCCTACAGTAGCACCAGGTGGCAGCGGCCCCGCACAGCGCTCAAGCTCGACGCAGGCAGACGACATCACATCGACCGTCTGCTCCACCGAGGCGGCCATCTTTGTCAGCCTCGCCGTTCCTTCTACTTCTCAACAGCTGTCACCGCGATCCTCCGTTCCGGGTTTCCTTTGTTCACTGTCTCCGTGTCACTGGAATCTGCTGGCAGCTCTCCAAAGCTTCTCCCTTTGGTTTCTTCTTCCCTTTCCTCCTGGTCGACCATCTCTCACCATGGATCCCAACGACCAACCGCCCGCGGGGCCTGACGCACCTGACAAGGAAACGATGGAGCAGGTAAGGCGTCTTGTGCTTCCCCTCTGTCGCTACTTATGCGGCTGATGCTGTGCTCGTACGAATGCTTACGACGCTGTAGATCCGGGCACGGCGTCTGGCCAAGCTGGGCAAGCCCGCAACGCCGAAGCCGGCGGAGAGCAAGCCCCCGGAAGCTGGCAGCTCGACATCATCGCCAGCTCCTCCCGAGACAAACGAGGCGAACAAGACCAAGATCAACATCACACCGGCGGCGGCCTCGCCGGCTCCAAACCCCTTTGAGCAGCTGGGCGTCGGGTCGAGCAGGCCGGCCGAGGCCGCGAGCCCTACAGGTACTACCCTTCGTCTTGCTCGCAAGAGGTCCGCCTCCCAAGTTGACGACGTCCTTTCAGCGCCGCCGCCCCCGCGCAAGCCTACGCCCGCACAGGTCGAGTCGGACGAGGACTACGCCGATAGAGTGCTCAGCCAAATCTTCCGCATCACGGCCGATCCCCACCGGATGACACAGGGCCACCACCGTCTGACCTTTCTCCCGAACCTCAACCAAGAGCTGGTCGATTCCGGGGAGCCCCTGAAGCTGTCCGTCAACAACCTGGACCAGGCCATCATAGAGGCTTGCAGCAGCTTGCCCCACGACAAGCCCCTGATGCAGTATCTGCTGCCGTGCTGGAAGAGAGCCGTGAAAGCGGCTGCGGGGAACAAACAGACAAGTGGCGTCAGGTTCGAGATTCATGAGGAGTCGAAGCGCCTTTGCATGAGCAACTGCCTGTTTGCCGTCACCATGCCGGTGCTATATGGGTTAGTTGCAGCTTGAAGTTCTGGTTCATTGCCCCTTTTGATATCTTTTCCATAACTGATGCTTTCTTGTTCAGCCGCGAGCCGAATCCGGAGCATGACACCATTGCTCCTTATCTCTTGAGGAGTCCTATCGACGAAGAGGGGATATGCTTTGACTTCATCAAAGAAGCAATCAAGCGATTTGACGATGACGAAGCCTTTCCCGCCATTTTCAACGATGCCATGGTCAAGATCAGCACCCAGCTTGCGGGCATGTCCATGGGTGACGATTATAAGCCCCATGTTCAGGTCAGTCTCCCCCCTCCCCTTTATCCGCTAGGGACTTCGTATCTTTCGCTCCATCTCCAGACGTTCGATGAGCTAACGCATGATGAGGCTTACAGGCGCTGGTGACATATACGCGTTTCCCTATCCTCATAACTAATCTCGCAAAGCACGCTTGCTTTAAGCTTGCCGTGTCCGCCCACAATATTGAGAGGAGCACTATTCTCGGCCCTTTCTTCCGTCTCTCCCCTCTACAGCCAGAAGTGATCAAGAGCTACTTCCCTGGCTCTCGGACTTTAGACAAGGCCCGTATCACAAATGCCCAAGACGCTCTGCGAATGGTGCTGAGGACGCACCAAGACGACTTGTTCGTCATCACGAATGCTTTCATCCGGGCAGGGCCCGATACGAGGAACCGCACACTAGACTGGTTCGCTTACATTCTAAACACGAACCATAAGCGGAGAGCAATGCAGGTAGACCCTAGAGAAGTCGCCTCGGACGGCTTCATGATGAACGTGACGACGATTCTGGATCGATTCTGTGAACCCTTCATGGAAAACGACTTCAGCAAAATAGACAAGATTGACGTACGGTACTTTAGGAGACAGCCACGAGTCGACATCAGCGATGAGACCAAGCTCAACGCCGACCAAGCTGCCGCCGAAAAGTACTATGCCCAAAAGGAGGAGGGGGAATCAAACTTCATCACCGAAGCCTTCTTTTTGACGCTGGCTGCTCATCACTACGGAAGTGAGGCGCTCAACTCTCAGCTGAAAAACCTCGACCGGGAAATCAAGTACCTGGAGAAGCATATCAGGGCCATGGAGGCGGAGCGCCCCAAGCTGGCGAATTCTCCGCACCAGCTGAGGTTGTTTGAGGAGACGCTCAAGCGTCACACCAACGTCCTGGAGAAGACGATAGCGCTCAAGTACTCGATAGAGGGCGTTCTTCTTGACGAGAGGATGCAGAGCACCTCTTTGCGGTTCATGCGATATGTCACTGTGTGGCTGCTTCGAATCGCGACGGGGGCTGACTATAAGCCTGGACTCGAATCTGAGACTATCAAGTAAGTTTCCATCTCAGCATTGGTACTCGAAACGGGGCGACTCTAATTCTCTCGCTAGGTTGCCTATCGAACTAGGGCACTCTGATGCCTTTGCGTATCTTCCGGAGTACACACTTCAAAACATCGTCGATAACTTCAAGTTTGTGTTCCGGTAAGTAGCTTATCCGTCGACTCAGGGCTTCCTTTCCGCTTGTCCCTGATATCTGCGCGAGCCCCTTTAACTGACCGTCCCTTGACAGATGGCTGCCTACCATTCTTCCTAGCGCGGTGGGAGAAGAAATGATTGCCTTGTGCATCACATTTCTCCGATCCTCGGAACACATCAAAAACCCTTACCTCAAGTCATCACTGGTGTCTCTGCTCTTCTCCGGCACCTGGCCCTTTATGCACCTTAAGAGAGGTGTCTTGGGTGACCAGCTCATCTCCCTCAAGTTTGCCAACGACTATCTCCTGCACGCCCTCATCAAGTTTTACATTGAATGCGAGTCCACGGGAGCCAACTCACAATTCTACGACAAGTTCAACATTCGGTATGAGATCTTCCAGGTCATCAAATGCGTGTGGGTCAACGACGTCTACAGACAGCAACTCATCAAGGAGAGCAAGTGAGTAAAACAGAGGATAACTTTGTTTCGGCATGGCATCTAATTCAAATCCTAGGGTCAACCGGGGCTTTTTTGTCCAGTTTGTCAACATGCTTCTGAACGACACCACTTACGTCCTGGATGAAGCCTTTACGAAATTCCCCAAGATCCGCACCCTCGAGAAAGAACTCGAGGATCGCAGCCTCTCGACAGAAGACCGGCAGAAGAAGGAGGAAGAGCTGCAGACTCTGGGAAGCCAGGCGACATCCTACATGCAGCTGGCCAACGAGACACTCGAAATGATGAAGCTGTTTACAAAGACGCTTAGCGAGGCTTTTACCATGCCCGAAATTGTGTCGCGTTTGGCGAGCATGCTGAACTACAACCTCGAGACGTTGGCCGGTAAGAAGGCTGCCGCCGAGTTGAGTGTCTCCAACAGGGAAAAGTACCACTTCCGGCCGATACAGCTGCTGTCTGATTTTGTCGACATTTACCTGAACCTTGGGTCATCCCGGGTCTTTATCGAAGCCGTCGCTGCCGATGGCCGCTCATACAAGCCAGAGGTTCTTGACCGTGTCTCTCGCATCCTTTCGACAAAGCACCACAAGGACGCCGCGGACATTGCCCGGTGGGACAAGCTCAAGCTCAAGTTTATCGAGGCAAAGGAGCTGCTGGACCAGGCCGAGCTTGACCTCGGAGACATCCCGCCCGAGTTTGAGGATCCCATCATGGGAGAGCTGATGAAGGATCCCGTGCTCCTGCCGAGCAGGCACATTGTCGATCGGTCGACGATTGTGCAGCATCTGCTGAGCGATCCGAAGGATCCGTTTACGCGGCAGCCCATGTCGATTGATGACGCGATCCCTCAGACGGAGCTGAAGGAGAAGATTGAGGCGTGGCGGCAGGAGAGAATTCAAGCAGCCAAGGAGAAGATGGCGGGAGAAGCCGAGCAGAAGACGGCGGAAGGAGCCGAGCAGAAGACTGCGGAAGAAGCCGAGGCGAAGGCAGCGGGAGAACCCGAGGATAAGGTGGAAGGCGAAGCTATGGACACTGCTGAGGGGTAGGGGGCGACGCTGGGCGCTGATGATGATGACGACCTTGCAATGAGGGTACATATTCTTCCCGCACCCTTCTCCCTCCCCTTTGAAGCAACTGTGAATAGAGAGCAGAAAAGATGAATCTGCTTGTATATTCCTCCCCCATTCTCATGACCATGGTTTCCGTCATTTCAGTTTGTTTGCTCTTTCGTTGATGTTTTGGCATGGGAACAAGAGTGGGACATCTCCCATCTTGCGGGGGAATTCGCAAAAACAGACACACGGTCTATTACTCTTCTTCCCCTTTTCTTTTTTTCTTCTTTGGAAATAAACGATACACTAGGTAGGCGAGGTCGATGAGGATAGAATTTATGATGATTTACGCTTTTCAACTACACACATATATATATATGCCTTTTGTCATTCTCCGTTCTCACAGCTTTCGTTTCCATTCTTACCGGATTTTATGCCTTTGATCGAGATGCCCTTCTACTCGAACAGTTCCGACTTCACCTCGGTTGGGGATCTTGTATGCTATTAAACCTGCTCAGGGACCTTCTTCTATATTTATAGACTTGTCTAACCCTTACTTTCGAACCTGCTGCTTCTGCCAATTAGGTCGAGGCGTGTTGGGTAGGTTCCGCCAGCAGAAACAGATCGAACATTGCATCTATCACGCCTTTTAATATCTGGATAATGGGATTTGTTGATGAACTTGAAATCTATGGTAGTATACGGACTAGATATACTTGGCCAGGCAAGAGTGCCGAACTCGTACATCCAAAGCCAAAGAATCCTTATATCACAGTTGTCAAGCAACAAAAGTATATCAGCAGCCATCCCACCTCTCTGCCCTTCGTCTTCTTCTTCCCCAGGAAAAAGTGTAACAGAAAGATTTAACGTGTCAATAGGCAGGTACCTTACCTTGCTCACCAATCTCATGTAACAGCTGAAAAAGGGATCACGACCGCTTCGTCTCCTTACATGAAAGCATGTCATTCGCAAAACCTGACAAGTCAGAGCCACAGCACTGTCTCAGCCCCGAACCAGAACACCAACGCCCGCACCCTATTCGGCACGAATGCTGCAAGCAGACTAAGTAAAAGTAAGCATGAGACAAGTCCAGTTGCCAAGATGGCCGAGAAGCCAAAAATATGAAAGACTGGTCTACCGTCCGCCATCTGCAGAACAAAGATGCCTTTCAAGCACGGTCATAGAAGAGGAAGGCCAATGTAAGGACATAAGCAGGCAGCCATGGATGAGCTATGTCAGAAGTCAGGATTCCATCCTTGTCCCCCATCTAGAAGGCAAAGGAAGGAGGTCAACAAAAGAAGCCAGTGGCGAATGAATTCGCTTGAAAAGCTCAGGGAGAGACGAAGTTGGTGTCCTCGCAAAGCAGCCGTGGCAGTGGCAATGGCATTATGAACTCTGTACGCACTTCGTACGACCAACCCCAGCGTCCGACATCCTGGCCAAAAGTTCACTGAGAACACAACGTGACTCCGGTTGACATCTGAGCGTGGCACCACGCACTGCAGAATCAGGGAAAAGGATCGAGGCACATGCTCAACGATCTCCTCAGGGGCTCGGCTCGAAGCGTGGAAGCCTAGCTCAGCCATTGCTGACAGGAATGTTGCCCGATGATCCGAGACATGCCTAGAGGAACGAGCCGACCTCGTGCGCGTCCGATTTTCGTCCCTTGGGGCCCTCGAGATCGGGTTGCCAGCCGGCTGCCCGCGCGATAAGTCGGCAGCCACTGCCGGTCTAGAATAACGGTTGACGGCCTGTTTCAGGGCTGCGCATGTCTGGCCAGGGACGACCAAGTGCGAGCACTTTGACCATGCGCCTCCGTATATGCTCCGTAGTTCCACATTCGGTCCCTTATCCGCCGCAGTCACTCTTACACCCACCAGTGTATCCTCGACATGCACAGAGCAGGCCGGGCCATGGACACAGTGAGCATGATTTCTGCAGACTTGCGTCATCTCGCTCCATGGCGCCGGGCCTGGCGGTGGGTTAAGCCGACATGGCATCGACCTTCGTCTCCGCGATTGAGAGGGGCCGCGAGATCCATACATTGCACCATGAGGCGAGACCCGCCGCCGACGTTGGAAAGGTGCTAATTAGTAATGAGAAACGGATGATGACACGAATCAGGGTCCTTGAGCACTCAAGATAAGAGGTCACGCTCAAGAGAAGATTTGGGAAACATGGTGACTCCGCAGAATGGTTCCCGGCAACCTGGACCATTTCCAGATGGACCAACTCCTCAAGACTAGCATGCCGCAAAGGAAGCTTGTTGGTCATTGCTACTCCGTAGAGGGTGGACAGACTGCAGGGAAGCAGGCCTCAGCAAAGAGAGAGAGGCTCCACACGCCATGTTCCCGCAATATGCAGCAAGCAAACAACAGCTCGCTACTCCTTCGCACACCGGCATCGTGGGGGCCACGAGCCTTAGCCGAACGTGGTTGGAAGCACCGGCTGGCTAGGTATGAAACGCATGGCGCAAGGGCACAGAGCGACGAGCAAAACTCCGCACTTGGTCGCTGTGCGAGTCCGAGCCCCGTGCCAAGTCAGGTGAAACCTGTCGTCCGCAGTCCCAACAAACGGCTGGGCCCCCGTAGATGCTCGTATGTACTTCGTATCATACATACATGCGCATGCTCAGACGGTAGCATTGTCTCGGCAAAGCCGCCGTGGGCTTCCGCCGGAGTTTGCCGCACCACTCGCCGACGATCGACGTATAGTGCCGTCCCGATCCTCTTGAGCGCCAGAGTCCAGGTCCAGGGAGACGAAGCTGGCTAGCATGGCTGCAGTCAGCAGCTTTTGGCGTCGAGGCGGACGGTCTCCCGTGTAAGACATACTCCGTACGGAAAGCACGAGACGGAAGCCTTGCCCGGAAACATCGCGACAGGCGCCTAACGCATCGGTGAGCATACGTAATTCGGACATGGGCATCTTTTCAGCCCTGAGCCGAGGACGGGATGTAGAAAGCTTGGCCTTAGAAGGCGTCCATTGCGACGTGTGGAATCGGCAAACAAGAGGTGCCCTGTCCGTCCGCACCGGGAAAGCCATGCATACATGTATCCGGCCAGTTCAGTGGTCAGCCAAGTCCGTCTTCTGTGCAGCTGCTCTGGACCTGTAACTGTGCTTGTATGTAGGTACGAAGCACTTCGGACTCGTAATGGACGGGATGTTGACCTCTTTCCATTGTCCATGCCGGTATTCGTCGTAGCCGTCGGCGCATCCTGCTGCTCGAGTGCGTGGGTATTCCTAGTAGTAGTATGTAGGTACTTGTAGGTGTGAGTGCCATCCTGCGGGTGTAATCTGTCTGTACCTTGGCACGGCTCTTGCTTAGCCACCCTCCCCCAGACATGTCAGACGACTGCAGCCCTCCAACTTCGGTTGCTACCACGGGAGCTTATGTCTTTCAGCTAGTCGAGCTGTAGGGCCCGAAAGGCGGCCACCCTCCTTTCAGCGAGCTAGCTCCTGCGACAGCCTAATTTGGGATATCTGCCGCCAAGTGATAAGACTCCAGGAAGCGTTCATCTTCGGGAAGAGCTGGCGCTCTAGCCGAGTCGCACGTGCGGCAGCAAGAGAACCCCTATCGCGAGGCAGGCCCATCGAGCCCGCACCGAGAATGCTGGAAGTGCCCTCAACCCCAGAACCGCCAGCGTCCGCGAGCCTGCGAGTCCACTTGCAGGTAGTAGCTCGTAGTAGCCGCCCGGCCTGGACCAGGGTGTCCATCAGAAGCAGGGAATCCATGAGCTTCCCCCACAGCATACCACGCCTCCGACGCTAAGAGGCATATTCCACCCCAAGTCCAACCCGTGCATCTCCCGAAGGCACGTACTCTGTACAACCAGGGAAGCAGATGTCTGGTAGTTCCGATAGAATGCCGGCATGTCTTCCCACCGCCATTGAAGCTTGCAGCCCATCGGGCCTGTACAGCCGAAGGCTGATAAGGTTGTGCGTGCAAAGCAAGTCGTCGATTCGCTTGTTGCTCTTGACTAGTACCAGCGTCGGCCCTCGTGGTATCTTTTGTATGATTCAGGCTGTGGGCTGCGACTGGCCCATCCTTCCAGGACTACTCTTGACACTGGTCGTGGCCCCGGCATTCGCTTCCGCTGCACCTTTCGCCCCAGAGGCAGCTTTGCGTGCTACGTTCCGCACAAATGCAGCTCTAGGCAGCGATGCTTGTTGCAGAATTTTGCCGCCTTGGGTCACTAACACATCGTACAAATATGTGACTAGCAACGGTTGTATGTAGTACTCGTACTAGCCAATGCAGGCCGTGTAAATCGCTCATGGCATGCACCATACATACATGTACCAACCTGCCCAGGGATCTTGGAGGGTCAGCGAAAGACGATGTGCGAGTCTTCTTCATCTGGCCGGAATGTGGGCAGGAAACACGGTACGAATGGCGCTGCAGCTCGGTCACCCCGGTTCGGCCCCAAACAAGACGCATTCAAGCAACAACTTATTCGTTCTCCATGCATGCTCGAACAGCTTTCCGGGGCGCAGCAAGGATGAGGACGACGCATACAGCAGTACTTGTATGTACCAGCAGCTAGCACCGCTGGTGCCAGCAACACGGAGCACACTCCGTGCTAGCTTGCCAGATAGCCGTGTGGCCTAATCTGACTGCTAACAGCAGAACTGGTGACTTGTTCAGGTGCGGTTAAACCTGTCCCAACTGCGTGGCAAGCACGGACAAGTCACCACAGATTCTTCATTGTCCCAGGGTCATGACGACTACCTCAGCCACCTGAACACTGGTGGCCGGCGCTGCAAGTGACAGTTCCATCCTCGCCTTGACGATCTTCTTCTCTGTGAATTCCTGGGGTCAGCTCCGCTCTGAACCGGGCTAGAGGAAAAGCAGAAAGCATGAGCTTTCGAGCAGCTTGTTTCTAACGTAGAACTGGCAAGGCTGGTGTCCTTTTCGAATGACTGCATACACTTTCTGATAGATGATCAATATTAGTATTATACTACCAGGTGAGAAGCTGGCAATGAGATATACTTACTACTAGTAGCATTTCTCAAGCAGGAGAGGAATTCGAGGGCCACACTTTTGGTGAGGGGCAATGTGATTTCTGTGTCTGCTACCTCCGTAGCTCTTATGAGGATGAAGAACCTGAGACGGACGGTGTCAAGTTGTTCGAAAGCAAAGCTGCCCGAGCGGAAACCAATGTTGTGCTGGGCTGACCAGTAGCGAGTGACGGGATAGTAGCAATGGCGATTTCCCCCCTCGCAATGCTTCGTACTATTCAAGCATCTTACAAGGAGGAAACTATGCCGATTAGCGACATTCTTGCATGTAGAACATCCGGCTCGTATGCGCGCTATTCGACGATGATTGAATGGCGGTATCGTCTGTTCACCCACTGATGCAGCCTTGAGCACGGGAGTTTAGGAAGTCAACAGGTCTAGCACATACGAGTATGGAGGCAAACTCTTTGTCTGGTGTCCGGCTTCCTTGGTTGTCCTAGCACGGGGTAGGACTCGATCAGCTTCTGGTGGGGTGGTCTAAGACGGCCATGTCTTGTTCTCCGGAGGGAGCCGACTCGCAATGCAGATCCAGACGCCTGGACGTTCGGATGCCCACGGACGAAATTGTGATGCCGATCTCTCAGACGCCTCGTACTACTAACGGTACGCGTTCGTATACTGTACGGAGGACGGAGGAGAGTTACTGCCGCTCACGATGGGCTGACCGCCCCGTAATGCAGCGAGCATTTGCTTCCCATCCGGCCATCGATATCATCTCGCAGGAAGACGCTAGTATCGACCCAGGTGCCCGCTGGGCATCCACGGAAGGCATTGGTAGGCTGGCAGTCGGCCATCATGAACGGCAACACTGCTGAGCCAAAAGTATCGGCCAGCCGCCATGCATCCTGTACGCTTGTTGGTCAGTGACCATGGCGGAATGGTGAGGAAACAGGTGGTGAACCAGGGTCCATATCCCCAGGGACTCAGGGAGTTGGAGGCGATAGTACTCGTACTAACAGACGGGCGGCGACGTGATGTATCACAGACAGACAGGGCACTTCGTGGTACGAGTCGAAGCGAAAGATTCTGGAAGCAAAAGCCATCTTTCCACCCGAGGGCACCTTGCAGCCAGCCTTCAGCCGCAAGGCCGCAAGGCCGGCGTTTCGAGTCGACAAAAGAGATGCTGTGCCAGTGGTGGGGCGAGACACCAGCGCTTGAGTCTTCCGTCTCGGCTCTGTACTTTGCCCTTGTTCGAGGGCCAAATCATGGCCCCCATCTTGCTCATCCACAGGGACCCAGTGCTCAGACGGAGAACTTTGTAACCCACCGACAGGATCTCCCACAAGGCACAGACCAACATAACCCATCGTCACCTCTGGTACGAAGTCCGGAGTAGACGAGTAGTTGTATAGCAGGTACTCGTAGCTCTCCAGTCTGTAACCTGGTGCTCCGTGAATGGTAACCAAGCCTGCCTGTTTCGCCTGTCGTCCACAGGGCATTACTGATTACATCTTATATTTTAGTGACTGTCTTTGACGACGAGTAATGTATCTGGCGTGAAGGGACATCGGATATCCTCTGCATTGTGGGTGCGTTTCTAAAAACCCCGAGTCCACGGGCTGCCGGCCGACGAACTCACAACATTTGCTGCTTGGCTTGATAACAGTAGCGGGGAGACCGCCATGTCGCCGCGGCTTCCTGATTCGTGGGCAAAAGTTTTCAAGATGCCGGGGAATTACCCAGAAGGGTCGGCCAGGGAAGATGGAGATACGAATTGGTTGATGTCGAACCCTGGACTCGGTGATTCGCCTGCAGCTGCGCAGATCACTACTGGCATCGTTGTGAACGCATCATGTATGTACTCTGATGTACAAGCGCAGTGCTAGTGCTTTGGTGGGAGTACTTGTGGTTCGTCGTAGCGCTCGAATGTGGTCGTTAGCGGATGTGAGCCGTCCATTTGCGACGCTGACCTGCGGCTTTTTCTTTGGCGAGATAACAAGAGAGCATCCATCTGATTACTTGGATGCTCTCGTAGGATTTGAGACAGGCGGAGAGCCCGTCTTTGTTGGTGGTTGCCGGCAGATCCCTGGCAGATTATCCAGGCAGGACCACCGCAATCACGACACAGCGTGATTGCCTCTTGCCTGACCGAAACGTGGTGAGGCGGCGCCTTCCTCAACGTGTGTTCCTGCCATCCCCGCAATATATTACACGGCACCTTCCAAGGTAAGGTACTTGTTCAAAGTACTACTAGGTACTTCCACCACATTCATTGTCCGTATCGGCAGCAGGAGCTCGCAAGAGCGGAAGGAGCCCTCTCGGAGGACGGGTAGGCACGATCTGGAGCGGGATGACGTTTGCTCAACGGCGGCCCCTTCCTTACCTTTTGCTGAGAACTCCAAGGTTCCTGCCCTCGCAACTTCGCTCCCCATGCAATGCGATGGGAATGCCGGCACAGAGAAAATTACTACTCCAAGCTGCAAACTGCTTCGTACCTTCGATACCTGGGCATCTTCCTCATCGTCACACCAAACCCCTTGAAGCCTTGTTCGACTCCATCGTCTCTATCACACCGACTTATTCTCCTAAAATTGACAGGTACGGGGTACTCACGCAGTGAGCACTCGTATGTGAGCTTCGGGGAATCATACGAGTTGTCGTCGTGGTCCAAACGCGTTTCAGGAGCCACGGTGAAGGTGCTTGTACGAACTGCTCGCTTGGAAATCGAATTTCGTTGCAGATGAATAACAGGGGATCTTGCTAGGTTCTCGATGCAGCCACCCTTGGTTCCGTCTCGTTTGTTGCTCACCGGGACTGCTAGATGGCCCCGACTTATTATGCCGCGTGGTTGATTTGACAGGCTGGATTTTGATCAGTTGTCATATCTGACTGGCACCTTACTCGGCGCTGTTACCCAGCTGCGACGTCGAATCCATTTTCGCGGCCGCTTTGACGTCCCTGGATTGCCCTTGTGGACACGGAGGTTGTGTTCCAATTACGATACTACCACCAGCACTACTCCGTACGGAGTGCGGAGTGCGCAGTATTACGAGCAGCATCATCATCATCATCACAGCCGCCAGACACCCCCGATGGGCACTGTGTCACTTGCAGCAACGACACGGAGTACGCATCATGAGAACCCACTACCACTACGACTCTATGTACCAAGGCGCCCCCTTGGTGCAACATGCAGAGCGGCCTGGACGGAGTACTCCATACGGAGTAGTCCGAGCGGATATATGCGAGCTAATTACAACTCGTCCTCAGTGCGCACACTCGCACCGCACTGAGGAGCGTACCGCGGTTTCGGGCTCGCAGCCAGAAGCCTTCGGTCAATCATCAACCCGCCTGTTCTTTCCATGCAACGCTTCGCACAGCACCCCGAGCATTGACGCTATACGCGTACTACTGGAAGGAAAAGACCCTTCCAACTCAAATCTTCCCAGGAGTGTGATTCAAAGTCATCATGCTCACTGACTTATGAAGCGTCTCCCGCCCAAGAGCACGCATTGTGTTGCTGTTCTCGGCCTTCGGAGAAGAGCCAAACGAATGCGCTGGATCAGTATTGGTGCTGGCAGTGTATTCCATGCTCGTAACCTTTTTCTCTCTGCCCTCGTCGCTTCCAAATCTCCATGTTGTGGCTCCTTCGTTAGTCTTGGCTGGGCCTAATCGCCACAAAGCCGGCTCTCACAGGCACTCCGTTGCTGTTGTACAGAGGCACGTTTACGAGCATGATACGAAGTCCTGTAAAGAACGAACCTTGCGCCACGAAAAGGTGCGAGTCTCGTGCAGTTTCCCGGATACTCCCGATCTCTCGCCGTGCTAGAACTTGCACCACACGTTGTTTGGGTCATGTTTGCCCGTGTGTTCTGTTGAACATTGCCGCAGAGCCGCCATAAGCAGCTGAGTGATTGCTGGGGTGCGATTCGAAATTGGTCGGTTCACCAAGACCCGGCACCCGGTACTCACCTCACAGCATGGCGTCTCGGGCTCTACTCCAGAGTTACACAGCATGCCATGCCGAAGGTCATGAAACCAATCTGCAGCCGCTCGATGCGGGGTTGTCCACAACGGCCTCTGCCATCTCTTCCACCCTATTGGTCGCGCTGAGGGTATCGAGATTGGCAGGCTGGCTACTCACTTGCGTGGGCAGTAGGGGGAAAGGAAAGGAAATGGCCCTTCCTTACTCGGCGCTTGAGGGAGACGCAGAAGCACGAGAGTGCAAGTGAGGACCAGAAGACGACTAGTACCACGATACCAGATGGACAACGGAAAGCTGCGAGTGCTGCGAAGTACGTATTCGGAAGGCTGCTTCATCAAGATCCCGACAGCCGGAGCTCACCCCTGTTCATCTTTCCGCATGTGTGAGGACGATAAAGCCCGGAGGAATGGAGACTGGCTTCTTAGTGCGGATGATAGGTAGTACGGAGTATTTTCAACATTACTCGTATTACAGCCGGCGGCTCCCTCGGCTCCAAACCGAATGTTGAACTCCACAAGATGAAGCAATGGCTCCAGAGACTCGTCACCTCTCGGCGCCCTCTGCGGATACAGCCGTGCCATTGGCGCCCACGCGCGGTGTGGCATCTACAATTTGTTTCAGCCAACCAGCTTCTGCCGGGACACGCACAAGCTTTAGAGCTTGGCATGGCTTGTTCCAGACGGGGTTGCCCCATCCTGCTCCAACGGCAAGAGACAGGGCTGTTCTATTCGCCTGCGTCACCCCATGAGCACCGGCCCTACGATCTTCTCTTCTGGCTTGCTTGCTTCCTACTGCTACCCTATCGTTCCCCTTGGGATCCTAACCGGCGGTTCGGGGAACGCCCTCGAATCGGCCAAGTGTCGAATCTTCCACCATCTGCTGGCGGCAAATCGTGGAGTGCAAGCCGGCGTGGTGATGACCTGGTCGCTTCTGACGCCACGCGCCTGATGGTTAGAGCCAGTGAGTAGTGCAAATGCAAGCCTAATTTCATGCGAGGACCCCGACTTTCGTCGTCCTTTCTGAAAAGGCGAGCTCCTCACGGCTAGCACAGAGCCACACAGTGTGGTTTCCCATCCGATTTAACCAGGCGAGGATGGCTTGCTGTGGATGCAATTTGCAGTTGTGTGAAGTACGACTACAGGACCTTCGTACCTGTACGAATACTTTGGACATGCTGCCTTCCAAGTTTGCATTACTACTCGCCCCGGCTCGAGCCTTGACAGGGGAGCATCTCGTCTCTCTCGGAAGTGCTTGTTCAGGGCCTTGGAGTGTATGCGTGAGGGCTCGTGGCAGCTCACCACGATGGACGAGTACGTCTTTGATGCTTTGCGGGGTTGCAAACGGCTAGTACGAGCATCGCCTCCGACACTCGTCATGCGGGCACTGTCTTCTTGTGCCCAATGTTCCAGAACAAGCTGCAGACACGCCAAAGCCTGACTAGAGCAATCTGTTTCCACATTCTCTATGGTGATTTCATGGCACCGTCGATACCTATGACACTGGGAGATGAATGAGTTGAGCATGAATCGTGTCACCAGGACAATCCATGACAGCTATGATTGGCGCTGTTTTCCCAAGTTTATGACTGCAACTTGGCACCTACCTCATGCTGCTTTGTGGTGGTCAGGAGGTGAAACTGAGAACCCAACATGGCCATTATTATCTGAGGGCCATATGCGAAGTACGAACCAGTCTGCGAGCAGATATCAGATTTTCTGGGAGGGGGATTCGGGCCACGCGGCATGCATGCGACATGATTGCCCACCGAACAAGCCTCTCCTGCACAGTGTCTAGGCAAGCGTGTGTGGATATGCGGTGTGCCCCGTCCCAGACACAGAGCAGTAGCCGGATGCTACTAGTGCCGCCATGCTCCCAAGAGCAAATCTTGTCTGGAGACGAGGGTAGCCAGTCGGCATCGAAAAGAGAAATGGCTAAAAAGCTTACCATCCCCTGTCTACGGAGCACTGGTGCACATCATGTCCCGAATTAGGCGGCTTCGGCCCCAGAGGGAGCCACATGCCGTATGAGGCTTGGCAGGATTGGGGCTTCTATTATTCGCTTGATGGCCTGCGGAGCGCATCTTCTGAACGGGTGTGATGCGTGGTACTTCGTATGGAGTAGTGCTACACGCAGGTGTCGTCGTGTGTGGTTGATGGATTTCACTTGGGCACCGCAGTATTATATTGCAGGACACAACCACTATCGTCCGGAGTGATATGAGTAGTTCGTCGGATCGGACTCGCCGCTTGCCAGTGATGCCTGGAAATCGTTATACGGTACAGACTCGGTTCGCCTACCACCTCCCTGGGTAGCGGGGGTTCAGGGTTGCCTTGGACCTCTCAAGGTATTGAATCCAGCCCAGAGGTTATGAGTGAGCAAGCCGTGTCTTATTTATCAATGCTCCTCATCTCCTGCTACATCTCATTTTACCTTTTTGCTGTTTTGCCGAGCAGAGCTCACTTGCTGCGAGGGGATCAGGTAGTAGGGCTACGTTGTGTTGATGCAGCAAGCCAGCCTTTGTGCTATTGTACCGGATGCTCACTGGTGATTCGAAGTGCTGACCACTTGTTGCAATCCATCACTTCCAGGTACTTGGATTTCCAGTCCAGGCCGCATCAACATCACGACGAAGAGAAGACCATGTTTCAAGGACAGAGCAGATGCCAGGCAGAGAGCGGTGATTCTCGGTACAAGCACGAAGACTGGTGGTTCGCGGCGCGGCATGACATATGACCTGGGAGCGACCCGGCAGCAGGCCCGATTGATCACGACCGGGGGGGCTGCCGTCCCTGGAGTCAATGCGAGGCTCGTCCGTTGCGACTGTAGCAGCTAGCCGGTACCACATACTACTACCTAGTAGTGCTGCCCCAGCTGCTGCTCGAAACACAGTCAATTAGCGGGCTGTGGTTGATCTCGTCTTGCCCTAGCCAGTTGATGCCAGGCCAGGCAAAGGGTGTGGCCTTACCAGCCCCACGTCTGCCAATCCAGATATATTTCCGAATCTGATTGAATGGGCGGAGAGCGACGGCGGATGACGGATGAGCACATTGACTGCTTGTACAGAGCACATGGCTGCCGTCGCCCGCTCGGGGCCGATATCAGCCATCCTACAAGTATACCTTACCTGGCCTCCTTGACACCCCTCCTCCACCTTGCCTTGTCTTGTCTTGCGGCTGCTGCTCCTACTTGTACTTGCCTTGCCCGTCCATACCAGCCCCGAGCCAGACCTGATCTGACCTGCTTTCCTCTTCCCCTCGTTGCGTGCGGCATTGCTTGCATCTCGGCAATCACAGCCACGGTCGCAGTCGCAGTCGCAGTCGAGTCGCAGTCGCCAGTCGCAGTCACAGACTCGGGCTTTCTTTCTTTTGGCTCGCCAGCAGCAACGGCCAGACTGCAGACCCGTCTCGTCTCGTCTCGCCTTGCCTTGCCTTGCCCTGCCTCGTCTCGCCTCGTCTGGTGTCCGTCGCCCGCCCAGCGCACTCCAGCAGACGGCGCGCCGCTTCCTGGACTTGAGCGCTCGGCTCAGGACCGCCTGTTTCACCTGCTCAAAGCGCAGACCGCGTCATCGCCATCGTGACCCCCAATTGGCACATGCCAGATGCCGGCTTGCGATCCTAGCGACGAACAGCGTCACGTACCGGGAGACGAAACCGGAGGGCTGCCGTGGGTTTTCCGAGCTGGCCATCTCAACTACGGCACCGCAACTGAACCTGGATATAGATTTGCTTCGGCGCTCCCGTACCACGACACGACACGAGACCAGGCCTGACCAAGCCGCAGTGCTCGTGCACATCTGCTCATAGCGCAGGCGTTGTTGGCTTTTTTTGCACAAAAGTAAACTGCTCGTTCTTTGGCTAGCCCGTCTGCTTCTCATCCTTCCCCCTTCGTTCCCCGCCAGCCTCTCCATCTCCTCCTCCTCCCCTCTCTCTGGAGATCCATCCCACAAAGCCCCCCACCCCTTCCTTTGCAGAGATACAGCTCGGCGCAGCCGGTAGAGCAGTTCCTCTGGATCTCGGAAGGCGTCCAACGTTGGCGTAATACAGATTCCTCTTGAGGCGCGGCACACACCCCAAAGCCGCGAGCCTTTTCCCGTTGGTGCCGAGACTCCGATCGGTTGGGTCGCTCAACTGCCTACCTAACACAGCACCAGCTTGACTCTGCATCGGTGAATCGACGACGACGCATCGGCTGAGCGCGCTGCGAGCTGGCGATTATTGTACTTGGCCCAGATACGCAGCAACCATGGCAGAAACGTCGCACAACCCGTATCCGCGATCCCCCAATCCCTCCACCAGGTCTTACGACTCGTCATCTGTCTCGTCCGCAACGTCGCCACGACCTCCGTCGCGATACCTTGGAACCATGCTGAATGCGGCGGCAAGACCAAACCCGTCAGTCGGCATGACTCCTTTGCCCCCCGTGAACCAGGGCTTCCCGCCTTATACGTCCATGGCACCAACGTCCATCATGGGCCGCGAGTCTGTCGCTTCCACCGACTCTCTGGTGAGCAGCCAAGGCCCCGGGAGCTCTCAGCTGTCGGGAACTCCCGGCGCCCAAGGACAGAAGAGGGCCTACCGCCAAAGGCGGAAAGACCCCAGCTGCGACGCGTGCCGGGAGAGGAAGGTCAAGTGCGATGCCACGGAGACGACGAGCTGCTCCGAATGCTCTAGCCGAAACGTCAAGTGCCAGTTCACCAAGGAAACCAATCGGAGGATGTCTTCCATCAAGCAGGTGCAGGATCTGGAGAAGCAGATCGAAAAGGTCAAGCGGGACAACAGCAACCTGCGCCGAATGCTCCAGGAGAAGGGCGGCGCCATGGACATAGATGTCGAGCCCAGAGACCGGCCGTCGTCTCACCTACCGCCCCCTATCGAGGCCGAGAGCAGACCGCGCAAGAGGCAGCAACCGGTCCCCAACCTCGTGCTGGCAAGGACAAACCTCCGAAATATCTCAAAGGGCGTTTTCAAGCCTCCGGCGCAGTACCGGCCGCCAGCACCGGCCGTCTTTGACACGCCCGCCCCCGAGCTGCCCCCCCGTCATGTGGCTGATCAGTTACTCAACACTTATTATACTTCCGCGCACACAATGTTTCCCATCATTCACTTACCGACATTCAAGTCCATGGTTGAGGATTTGTACCGGACAAGCCAGCCCCGCCTTCCGCCGGCGTTCTTGTGCCTGTTCTTCGCCGTATTGGCAACCGGCAGCTTGTTTACTGTCGAAATCCCAGCCACCGCCGCCAGCTATTTCCGACCAGCTGAGTTTTTGGATTCGGCGCGGAAAGCCATGGATCCTTGGTGTAACCACCACACTCTCGACGACGCAAGGGCTTTGGTTCTCATCACCATCTGTCTGAACGAGATGAACCTGAAGTCAGCCGCATGGAACTGGCTGGGAAATGCTGTGCGTGTTGGACAAGACCTGGGCCTCTACATCGACACCGAGACCTGGCCCGTCATCGAGGGCGAAATGCGCCGCCGGACCTGGTGGGCCATCTATATTCTTGACAGGGTCATGGCCACCGAGATGGGCCACCCGTTCCTCATTGACGATGCTGATTGCAGTGTTGCGCTGCCTGCGGCGGTGGACGACCAGTATATTCGAGACGACGGGATGAGAGTCCCTGGCGGAGCCGAGCCGCTGACTCACTCCCTCTTGGCTGTCATTCATGTCGTCAGGTCTTATACGTCCATTATGAAGACGATGGAGGCGACCACGATACCGCCAGCGCAGCTCACAAACTTTGATAGCCACTTCAAGAAGTGCCTTCACACCTTCCCTCCGGCCTGTGATCCCTTGAGCACTGTGGCTTTGGCGCCTCACTTCCTGGCGCCTCTGACGTACCTATTCCATGCGCGACTGCTTCTTCACCGCCATAACCTGAACCCCAGCTGTGACGGGGAAACGCGGCTACGCGCCATTGACAGCTGTATGCACATTGCCATGGAGACGGCCTCGTTGCTGAACCGGACAGACTCCCCAGCTGACGGTGCAACTTCTCTATTAACGGCCCATATCTTCCGCTCCGCTCTATTCCTCCTGTTCACCGAGAATTGGGATTACGCCATCACCTGCATCCGAGCTCTGGCGGCTATAGATGCCAGACGCGACATAGCTACTGCCTGCGGGAGATATCTCTCCTTCTTCACTTCTACTTTGAGTGTCAAACGAGCCGAATACGCAAGTCGCCTGGCAAGAACAACGTCGCCCCATGCTTTTTCAGCTCCGCAGTCACTGATGAATTCGACGTTGATGTTTTCGTTGGCTAGAGATGAGGAGCTTTTGGCGTACGTCTCTTCCGACCTCCATGCCTCGCCATCGAGATCCTGGGTCTGGAATGAAGGCCACGATCGTGATTATCTGTCCCCCAAGGCCGATGCTCCCGTTCCTTCTGGTGGACTCGGGCATGCGCTCTTCAGCGCAGCGATGAGAACCGGCCTGAGCGACGAGGAGCGCAGAGAATGGGGTGGGTGGCCTCAGCTGGAAGCAGCAGTTCGAGGGCTTGCAACGAGTCATGCCACCAGCAACTGGACAACTCTCCCTCCGCCTCAGGTGAAGCGGGAATCACCGACTCCGGGCATGCCGAGCATTCAGCGACTCTCGGATGCGCCTCGTTACACGTCAGAAGTTCCCAAGTACGGCAATGAAGCGTCGCGACCTGCTGCGGCTAGTCCCGCTGGTAGAGATAGACTGAGCATTGCGAATATCATATAACGATGACGACGACGACGACGAAGAAGAAGATAGAGGGTGATTCGGAGACTCGGAACTGATACACGAATTCTGAGATGACATGACGCGAGGGTCCCTCCACCCTCTCTTTCTTTTGCTACTTTCATCGCTTTTTTCTGTTTTCTTGATTTTTCCCTCAACTCCTCGGCTGAAGAGGACAGGGCCTTAATGACTTGTTTCCTCTTGCAAATTGATTTGCTCTTCTTTTTTATTCTTCGTTTTTTGGATTAGGAACAAAAAAAGTGGTCGAACGACGGCATTTTGATACCAAGCGCACTCTCGCAACATACCCCATGGTTTTTGTCCTTGATTGATCTGACATTTGCACACGGTTCACGGAGGAAGAAGTTATATACCATGTTCTCTTATTTCCTAGCACTTTCTGTTATTCATGCCTGTCGATTATGGACGCAAGAGTAGGAGATACCACCGGAGCCATTTCTTTGCTTTTCTTTTTTTCCCCGTTTCCCTCGTTTTGTGATACTCATGTCTCTTTTCTCTTCTCTCCGCTTAATCAATTACTTAATACCTACGGTCGGATGTTTTCATTCATGTGATGTCGTGTTTTTTTTGGGGATGGCGGGCTATGCGAGTTCTGTTAAAGGCTATCTGGAGGTTTGTGACGATATGATTCATGTCTATAGATTCGACGCTCGGTCTCTTTGCTTTAGCCAGATAATGTCAACTCCTGCCCCTTTTGCAATTCTTGACTCGATTTCTTTCCCTTCCATTTGTCCATTTGTGAAGCAGCCATCACTTCGTTTTGAACGTGAACATAGGGGGTAGACTATACGGTTGACGGAATGACACGCAACATGAGATTATAGAATAACTCCATTGCCCCTATATCGTGAGCATTGCCCCTATATCGTGAGGTATCATGACGCTCACTGCTTACAGCAACCCTTATTTATTTACATAACTTCAAAAGGGGGAAAAAAGCAATGCAAATCGCCACACTTTTCATCAACCAACATCTCACGCCTTCAACCCATCAAACTGAAGCTTTGCAAACTTGTCCTGCAGGGTATCCCTCAACAGCCCCCCATCACCGACATACTCGGCCAAGTGCATCGCCTTGAGAGCCCAGCGGTGGCACGGCTCTTCCTCTCCGCGGGCGTAGTAGTCAATGGCGTGGTTGAAGGTCGTGGCCACAAGCCACTCCAGTTCGGCAGAAGGCAGTTGAGTCCCAGTCTGTTTTTCCATACACACAGGATGTTAGCACGTGCTCTCTCCTTTGCAGAAAGGTTCAACGTGAGGCATCATATATGGGTAGCAAAAAGGGGGAAAGGGGGTTGGGGAGCTTACTTCGTTGCCCTCGCGGGCTATCTGTATCGCTTGGTCGACAAGCTGAAGAGCGCAAGTATCGTCCAGTCCCAGAATCGCCTGAAACATGCACCGGATGTACTTTGCAAGCTTTTCGTAGTCAAACTGCTTCAGCTCATACATTTCGTTGATGATGAGGCGCATGGTCGAGAAGAGCGCTGGAATGTAAACATCAGTGTCCATATCTTTCAAGGACATTAGGAGCATGGCTACTTCGGAGCGCCCACCTTTACCTGGAGCTCTGCTTCTCAGCATGCAGTCCCCCATTGCTTTATACATGCCCTCGTCACGGCACATCTTGGTCTTGCGCACAATCTCGTTCAATCCGTCCCAAATTTTGAGCACAGTGGCAGCCTCAAAGTCAAACACGAACAATGTTGACAGTTTGGCGATTAGATCCGCTCGTATGTTTTCATCTTGAATGCCATCCGAAGTCTTCTCGAGGGTTGCGTCAAAGTCCTTGACGTGATGTCTTGCTTCGAGGTAGTACTGCAGCTGCTCTTCTACTCTGTCCTCTGTGCGCGCGAGCGAGACCAGTGCTGCAGCAATGACAAAATGGCAGCGTAGAGCCATCAGGGCTATCTCAATGGACTCGGATAAAGGCAGATCCTTTGGATAACATGCCGAAAAAGCAAGGGACGTTTGGAAGATGCGTATGATGTGAGGGAGCTCCCATGTGTCGCATTTAGAAACACCCATGTTGTATGCGTTCTTTCGAAACCAATGCAATTCGGAAATTGTGAAGAGAATGTTCCCATCATCGTCTTTGGGTTCTTGATTTGCTCGCTCAGCGGCTACATCATAGCAGTCAGCAGTCATCCCGTGCATCAACTCGGAGGCACGCACCTTTCTCAAATAGTTTACATATGTCGTCGGCATATGTAATGCTTTGAGACCCAGCATCAGCACTACCCTCTTCCTCAATTTTATGTATGAGGCGTATCGAGCACCGCAGTATTGACGTCAAGTTGCTGGGGCTCACTTGTTCAGACTTCCAGCTGTCGATGATGGCTTGTAGAGCTGCCAGAGTACACAGCTTATCGCCCACTTGCTGTGCTTCTCTGATGCAGGCGTATAGCACATCGCGGCCCTGTGAACTGTCCGAGAGCTTACTGAGATGCTTGATGCTCTCGCAACCAAGGTCGTGATCCCAGTCAACTAAAGATACTTTGAACGTCAAGTACCTAGTGAGAATATGGTCCTTGGCGGTATCAGGCATGGAATGAAAAACTCTTCGAGCCTTTTCGGTGTCATTGATGCCCAGAGCACAGATGATGAGCTTTCTGAGAAACTTGCCATGGTTGGCCTCACCACTATTGGAAAATATCCTGTGTAGGGCAGTCAGGCACCATTCCTCTGCCACCCCGTAGAATTTTCCCGGCATGGAGAGTATCGAGTCTACATGGTTCCATATGACCTTCTGTCCAATCAGCAAAGGTACGAAGTCTCTTGATCCAAAGATTCCCGTCGCTTCAGCTTACCGAGTGAGCTGCAACAGCAATATCTGACGCCAGGGGGTCGGAAAGGCCATCGTAAACTCTGTCCAAAAGATTATGAAGATCCGTCAAAGGTTCAATCTCATCTGCGTCGTAAATCAAATCCGCGGTACCAGTGGTGACCATCCAAAGTCTCCTAACAACAACCTTCCCAATCCATTCGCTCTTCTTTGATGAGACAACGTGTTGTAGTAAAAGTTCGTCCAGTAATCCGCGGGCCAGCCGCGGGCTCCTCTCTCCCAGGCTTCTAATGTGATGCAACAGGAAGTAGAAGGAGGCATCAGAGTAGTCAAACGAGCGAACCATGCGGTGTAGTATGCTGGAATAGGCGTCCACGTCAAAAGCCTCTCCTGGTGCCCACTGTAATAGCTCAAGACGCCAGTGCAGCACGAGGGGCTTGTCTCCAATCTCAGACTCGATGTATTCGACCAGGTCCTGGGCCTCTTGGACGCAAACATGAGAGCCAACATCCAGAAGCCCACGCACAAGTCCTTGACAGATGGCGAGTCGTAATTCAAGTCCCTTTGCTGAGAGCTGATCAAGCGCTTGATGATTGATGATGTCGTAGGCCCGCTTGAGCCACTTTACCGCCATGCCATGGTCCCCCTTGGACGCAAGATCGAACCCAATGTGTTGCAGCGTGTCAGCTATAATCTCAGCAGAGATTGAATCCAGATTTGGCCGAAGGGCATCGATCTTGCCAAACATGTGCTCCGCAACATCAAGCCTGTCCTCTTTCCATGACTCTCCAACTTGTCAGGACAACGTTTATCACTGTATTACTGAGCCTGCGGACGGCAACTCACCAGTGCTGTTCTCATCGCCAAGTACTCAGCGTCAAGCCTCGTCCGTTCCTTTTGAGCCCGGAGATCCGAAGTGCCAGGGGGCACCGCCTTCAGTCTCTCCATCAACTCCGCAGCCTTTTGTAAGGCCGTCCTCGCCGAATCCAAGTCGGCATCCCTCACACAAAGCTTGCCGAGCGCCAAGGCCATATTCATCAAGTACATAGCCTCAGTCCCCTCATCCTCCTTAGCTCTGCCCGCACTCCGACCATGCTCCAGCATGTAAAAGGCGAGCGACCTTGCTTTGACGAGCAATCTGCTCTTCTGTATCGGCCCAGACGCGTCTAATTCTCTCCTCAGCCTGATACAGAGATTCCACAGGTCTCGTCCTTGTCGCTCGACTTGCTTGGCCAGTTTCTGCGGCAAGGGACCTGTCGAGCCCGACTGTGCTGCATTGTGAATGAGCTGGATATGGTGGCTTGTGTCTGCGAGGAGCAGATCGATGGTTTGGGCGTCGAGAGCATCGGACAGCTTTGACTGAAGCATGGCTGCAAATTCTGCATCAACGACGATGTTAGAGAACATATTGAGGCCCATACTAGGAGGGAGATTGGATCAGGTATATTAGATACCGATGAACGACCGGGCTTTTCTGATCCTGCCAGCGGAGGCAAGATCCTCGGGAGCCATTGCGACCGGATTGACGAGTGGCAACGACGAGATGAATCGATCACGGCGGGTAGCAGAAACTCGCACGACGGGATGAGGCGAATGTAAGAGACAAAGGCTTTCGTGAGAGATGCTGCCATCGAGCTCAGAGATGAAGGAGGAAGAAAAAGGAGGAAACGAAATCTGACTGTTCCTCATGGAAGAGGCCACTACGGGAGTCTGCCGCACCTTCCCTACCTACCAATCTCATTACCTCGAGGCACCAAGAAGGTACCAGGTACCAGGTACCAGATGCTGCTCCTACAAGTTGAGCCTCAGGCAAATACTTTCCAAATAGACCATCTCGATCAGAGCATTTCCTCACACACCAGACGTGGGAACGCTTGTCCAGCTGAGATACCATCGTGTGCCTTGGTTTGGTATTGTACCTGACAACTCTAGCGAAGAACAAGAAGGAGCATGAATAAAGCCACTTCACGGCGATACCGAGACAACGAGACGAAGCAAGACGGAGAAGAGCAAGAAAGGGAGAAACTCGACGCAGGTCAACGCCGTCCATCTTATCCAGTACACCCAAGATCCCATTTTCTGATGTCCGACTTTTTTCTGGCTTTTTGAAACCCCTGTTTTTGTACCCGTATCCGAACAAGGCTCCCTTTGGCTTCTCCACGCACATAAAAACTCACATACAAACGGAAGACAACAAGGATCATATTGGAATTAGAATGAAAGGCTTCACTGTACAGGGGGGTCGTGCGGTAAAAAGTTGCCAACAATCAACGCGGGCCTGCCAGATTTCCAAGAGTCAGTTTTTTGCCGCTTCTTTCATGTGAATCCCGGAGACGGAGCAGATAAAGATGACGAGGTAGAAACTCACAGCTTGTGCTCATCACGGCGGATTGTAAAGGAAAAGCAGCACTTGACGATGGGATGATCCGACGAGTCGCTGGGGTTCTTGAGCGAGCACGCCGTCAGCAGCGTGTCGTGCGCCGGATCAAAGGCAATGGTGCCAAACTCCTCCCAGTACCGCACCATGGACTCTTCCGTCAGGATCTCGTGGAGCGCAATCTTGCCCTGGATAGGGAGAACAACACGAGTTAGTGAGCCATATCTCTTCAGCTGAAATGACAGATGTAGCAAGAGAGAAGGGATACTCACGTCTCGCAGCCGATCCACCGGCACATTGATCAGCTCCGCCATCTCCTTGTTTCCCCGGAAGATCTCGCCCGTTCGCCTCCAGCAGCACGCCGGCACCGCCATGCTGGCAAACACGCGGTCGTAATCCATCAGCTGCTTCTCGAACCACATCTCTACATACACCAGCTGCATGTCCGTCAGGCCCTGTGCCTTCTCCCTGAACTTGGGCCGGAACTGGTTGATGGTCCGCAGGATCTTCTGCTTGGACGTGGACGCAATGTGCCCGTCCAAGTACTTGCCCAGCCGCGCGTAGCCGTTGATGTAGTTGAAAGGCTTGAGCAGGCCGGCATCGTACTTGGCCTTGAGCACGCGAGACATGCGCTCCTCCGGGTTGTCATTCCCAGAAGGATCGGCTGCCTGTAGATAGTACTCTCGCGTCTTTTCTTTATCAGACCGGGCCACTGCTTTGTTATCCGTATTCGGAGGGGGCAGCATAGATCCCGGCGCGTGGCCGGCAGCTATAGAGCCGCCCGGCAAGCCGCCGCCGCCGCCGCCACCACCATAGCCGGAGACCATCTCCGAAGGTCCTCCTGGCCGGTTAAAGGCAGCATTCTGCTGGGCCTCGACACCGCCCTCGTCCAGGATGCTGTTGTGCAAAAAGTCGTTGAGAAGGTTGAACTCGTGAGTGACGTCGGGTCCGATCATATAGTTTGGATTATAAGTATTCATGTCATTGTAATTTTGCGCCGTCAACCAAGCGTCCGAGAAGCCGGCAACTACTCTGTCGTTAGCCATCCAGAGCATCGTGGAGGTGTCGCTTGGGTGGGTAAATATAGGGGAAAAGATGGTAAGGTACAGAACGGTAGGGAGGGAGCTGGAGGGCAGTGGTGCAATGGGATCGCCTCGTCTCCCTTTCGGCAGCAGCTTACATTGATTCGCGTTACCATTGTTATTCAACGCGTTGGCCTGCAGGCCTGACGAAGCGTCGGGTTGCACAAGGGACAATGGACTGGCCTGGGCGAGCACGCCTCCAGCCCCAAGGCCCGAGTTTGGCCTCTGTCTCGCGCCATCAAAGGTCGGCGGCGGTCCCATGGCGCTGGAGATGGAGCTGTGGCCCAGATCGGACTGGGACATGGTGTCCGAGTCCTCTACGGATGCGGTCGATGCGTTTTTGCTGCCGGCCGTCTTCTTCTTAGGATCTGACTCGCGCGGCTCATCGTGGCAGAGATGGCCAATGTTTCGCTTAATGCATCTCGTACACGGCCGCTCCTGTCCACGGCATTAGCACGTCCCAGCTTTGTCGAAGAAAGGAGGAGAGGCTGGCTGTCTGGCCGATGGGGGAAGAGGCCTGGGCCCATCCACCCATGAGGCTGCCGCCGAGGCGAAAGCAGGACAGATGCTCTGGTGTAAGGGGGGAGAGCGCAGGTAGGTACTTACGAGATCGCATGTCATGTGCTACTCGCAGTTCGACAACGGAATCAGTCAGCCCACAAGATCTTTCGTCTTTTTTTGGGTTTATACAAACGAGGGATGGAAGCAATGATGGAGTTTTCTTCTTCTTCTGTCTCCGACTCTTCCTCGTTCCCCTTTCCTTCCTCTTCTTCCCCCTCCTTTCTGGGTTGCATCACGGGATCATCTTCGTTTCTAAAGCGGGCCAGACTTACAGATCTGCGACAGTACACGCACGCTGCAGCGGTGGAGGGAGAGACACGCAGCTATTCGTTAGTCCATGCTGCATACTGTTTTTCTTTTGCACACGCTCGACACTTGCAATTTCAAAGTCACTGGCTAGCAATGGCCAGTGAAAGATCTGAGCAAAACGGGGGGAGGGCAAAGAAAGGGTGGGTGTGTAGGGTTCGGATGGATAGATGGAGGAGGGAGGGACGGCAGAGGACAAACATCAACAGCCTGCAGCCATTGCGCCCAAAGCCAGTCCTCTCTCTCTCTCCTGGATGAGTGACCCCGCGAGTGAGATACGGGAACACGGAGGGGAAAGGGGGAGTTTTCAAGCAAGTTCTGCGTACCATGGTTAACCTTGCGTCTCTTCTTCGGGTTCTTCCCGACTCCTGCAGTCGGAGTCGCAGTCGCAGTCGCAGCGCCTGTGCTCAGGCTGCGGGCTTGATGACGGTCCTTTTCGCGCTCGGCCGCGTCGCCTTTGCCCGCCAGCTTGCTTCGCTCCACCATCTTGCTTCCCTTGGCATCCATTGCACCCGGCGCCGTGGTGGTGGTAGTAGTGGTGGTAGTAGTTGTAGTCGCACCGGTAGCAGCCTTCCGCTCGCTCATATTGCTGCTGTGCTCGCTGAGGCCAGTCCCCTCTTGATTATCCCCCCTCCAGGGATGGGCCGTCTTTCTTCTCGTGCCTCTTGTCCTGAGCCCTTTTCCTGACCTTGTCCTTGTTCGTGTGCCCTTGGTTTTTGCTCTTCGTTCCCTTTCTTGCTTGTGTCTTTCCCGTGCCTCTCTTTCTCTCACACTCCCTTCTTCTTCTTCTTCTTCTTCGTCTCTTCTCTCTAATCTCTCATCGCCCGATTGCTCGGCCCTCCCATTGGTTCTATCTGCCTCGGGGCAAGGTTACGCAAAACGAGCAGAGTGCAGATCATCGAACGTCCCAACTTCCCGGCTTCGACTTGACGCTTCGTCTCGTTTTCCCGACGGCGCAAACCGGCATATATCCCCCAGAAACCGGGGGAAAAGAGAAAGCTGTGAAGCCCTTCTTTGTTTCTCGCCCAAGAAAAAAAGCACAAGCGCAAGCTGCCGTGTCTCTTCTCCTTTTCAGTTGGTCCTCCCGTCTTTTCTTTCCCTTTTCTGCCCTTTCGCAGTAGTAGCAGTAGCAACAGCACCGCCACCAAAAAAAAAAACCCTGGAAAACGTGCGGTCGTGTGAGCGGCACTCGAATCTTGTTTTTTCCTTTCCGGCGGCTTTCTCGTCGGTTGTCACGCTTTGCAGAGGACGGCAGCAGGGCCGGGCGCGGGCTCTGGCAGGCAGGAATGGATCGCAGAGGCAGAGGATGGCCGGCAAGGCGAGGATCGAGGTGAGCACGAGGGCAAAAGAAACGGCGGCCATCCGCAGAAAAGCGCGGGCTGCGGGTTTGAGGCAACCCGGTAGCCGTTCGGTTTCGGTTCAGCTGGGGGGGGCCGCCGCTAGGTTGCTTGTTGTGGCCCCCGGCTACTATTACTACCAGCTACAGTTGGATGGGACCGAAGGACTGGGCTGGTGCTCTCTTTTTCGCCTTGGCGGGCCACATAGCGCTAGCGCTTCAGCGTCATCGTCTATTAGGTCAGTACCTGCGCCAAAAGGATTCAGTGGACCGCTGCGGTGCTCCGTTAGCGGTCCTGGGGGTGCTGTGGCCCTGCTGTAGCGGCGGCGAGATGGAGGGGGTGGCGGGCGGCTTAATATCGCCCAACTGCTCATTCGCTGGGCAACACGCAACACCAGACCAAGACCAACCGGGGAACCAGGTATTAAGCAGTTGGAAGCGGTCATTGAAGTCAGATAGGCTGTGAATCCAACATACATACTACTGTAGTGTCCATCAATAGGTTGCTGCTGTTAGTTGCCTATGTCGTTTGACGGGCAATTCTCCGCATCCTCATTGCATCCAGTGACCATCCATTCAAACTCCTTTACTACTAGCGCCACCACCAAAACAAAGAACAATATCTACATGTAACCACCAGCAACGAAAACCCCAACGACAAAAAGAGAAAAGACATGTACATCACAAAGGCAATATACTACTATTTTCCCTACACAAACCCCAATAAAAAATAAAAGACCGCCGTGTCCACGCGCCGAGAGGTGGCTTGAGGCTAAAAGCCTAAACCTCTTTTCTGGTTCTTCAATACATATCTACATACATACATGCATACTGTAGAAGCAAGCACCTGAGCACGAAAACACCTTGACCGGATCAATGGATGATTTCATCAAGGAGTGCTCCAGAATCCCGAGCGTGCAGGAGAACCTCGGGAACTACAGGATCTACTACCCACATGCCGAAGACCATAGAGATCAAGGTACCTCCCCGTTTCGTTCATGTAAGTGGAAAAGACACAGGCACAGGAACAGGAACAAAACAACGGGCACATTCCATCCAACCAAGGGGCTGCACGATCCCCGCGTGAAACATCACTTTGTCATTCCCCAGTCGAAACGAACTCATTCCTCTTCCTATGCAAAATCACAAAAGCATCACAAGAATCCCGGAACCTTGAAAGCGAACAAGTAACGAGTCTCCGGCCCGGCGCCTAAAGAACGCTGCCGTCGAGCTTTCTTTTTGATTTCTTTCCTGCTGCCCCGATCAGGGTTGACGGAAAGTTGTTCCCTTCAACCTGTTGTTGCGCCCATCGGAATTTCACGGGATGACGCCTTGTAAGTTCTTTTGGGGGCGCCTGCTACTACTATTGATAGTTTGCCCGGTTTGCGGGTAGTATTACCTAATGTTGTCTCAGGGCCTGCGGAGGATTTCGGAACGAGGGGGGTGATGGATGATGACCCCTTTGACTGCGATGGTCATGACCATGGACGAAAGGGATGGACAAAGTGCCGGGCTTTTTTGGGAGCGGGGATCTTTGTTTGTCATGGCTTTGATACGGACTGTACTCATAGGTAAGCATCTTGCAAAGAACGACGAGGTATAGATGAGATGCTGAAAATGATGGGACATGGACTTGAGACTGAAGCGCGATGCTGTCAAACTACATACCAACGTGAACAGGCTCAGTACGGAGTAATAATAACAGCCCAACAAGAGAAAATCACAAGTCACAAGTTTCATCCCAAAATCTCATATAGCCACAAAGAAGCCCTTCTCGCCCTCCTTCGGAAGCACCCTAGCCCTCCTCATAATCTCATCCTCGCACATCAGCCTGATCCTCTCCGGCGTCGCCGGGCTCTCCAGCCTCAGCAAGCCCTCGCTGTCATTCTCCCCCACCGCCGCCTCGACGCCCGCGTCCTTGCGCGCCGCCTTGAGCGCGTGCCGGATGGCGAAGAAGACGGAGCTGCCCATGAACAGCGGCGGCTCGCCCACGCCCCTGCTGCGCTGGATCGTGCGCAGGTCCTTCCACTCGACGTCCTTGAGGAGCGTCACGTTGAACTCCTGGGGGATGTCGCGGAAGCCGGGGATCTTGTACGCGCCCGGCCCGCGCGTGAACAGGTTGCCTGCCATGGCGCCGTTCCGCAGCCAGAGGGACTCCTCCATGGTGAAGAGCCCCAGGCCCTGCATAAACGCCCCCTGGATCTGGCCGTAGTCAATGGCCGGGTTGATGGACTGGCCAATGTCCATCTTGATGTCTGCCCGGAGGCAGGTCGACGCGCCGGTGAGGACGTCGACCTCGACCTCCGCAGCCGCAACGCCTTGGGTGAAGTAAAAGTACATCTTGCCCTTGTTCTCGCCCCATGTGTACCCAATCTCAGGCGTCTTGTAGAAGCCCTGCGCCGACAGGTTGACGCGGTCGAAGTAGGCGGCATGGGCCAGGTCCTTCATCGTCGCCTCCGGGCCAAGCTTCTCTCGGTAGGGTGCCAGCCGCTCATTGAGCTGTTGGCAGGCGTTGAAGATGGCGTACCCGTTCAGATCGGACGACGCCGACGCCGCCGTTGACGACGTGTTGGCGACTGTGTTGGTGGCCGTCTCCGAGATGAAGACGTTGTCCAGGGGCACCTGGAGGGCTTGCGCGGCAATCTGCGTCATCTTGGTGTGCAGTCCCTGGCCCATCTCCGTACCTCCGTGAGCTACCAGGATGGAACCATCGTGGTAGATGTGGACCAGAGCTCCCGCCTGGTTGAGGAAGAGGGCCGTGAACGAGATGCCAAACTTGGTCGGAATCAGGGCGATGCCCCTCTTGCGCCACTTGTGAGTCTCGTTGAACCGATCGACCGCAGCCTTGCGCTCGTGATAGTTGCTCTCTTCCTGCACTTGCTTGTACATGAGCGGGACATGCCAATCCGTGACAGGCTGGTTGAAGTGTGTCAACTCGAGAGGCTTGTACATGTTGATTTCGCGCAGCTTCTCAATGGGAATGCCCAACCGATCCGCGGCCTCTTCCATGCAAGTCTCAATGACGAACATGCCCTGAGGGCCGCCGAAGCCACGGAATGCCGTATTCGAGACGGTGTTGGTCTTGCAGACACGGCCGCGGACCCAAGTGTTGGGGATACGGTAGCACCCGTCGACATGCGTAGCTGCTCGCTCGAGGACCGCCGCGCTGAGGTCAAACGTCCAGCCCGCGTTGTTGAACAAGTCGACATCCAGGGCCTGGATCTTGCCGTCTTTGTTGAAGCCGACCTTGTACTTTCCGAGGAAGGGATGCCTCTGGCCCATGGTGACCATGTCTTCCTCGCGCGTCAGCATGCAGCGGACGGGCCTCTTCGTCTTCTTCGCGGCGAGAGCTACGGACGCGGTGAGAACGATGGATCGGGTCTCTTTGCCACCAAAACCACCGCCTAGTCTCTTGACACGGACGACGACCTTGTTGGCAGGTACATCGCAGATACGAGCAGCAAAGGTTTGGCTACATGTAGATAGAAGTGAGATTTAGTGTGTATGATCAGCGGAGCGATACAGGAGGTGTCAACTTACGTCTCCGTCGGGTTCTGGGTACTGGCGAATATCTCCATTGCGCCGTCTTCCGGACTGGGTACGACAACACATGCGTTGGTCTCGAGGTAGAAGTGCTCCTGGCCTCCCATCCGTGCATTGCCCGTAAAGACATAGTCACTGTTTCTGAAGGCTTCCTCAACGTCCCCCGTCTTGATCTCGCGATAGCACGGGTGGAAACTGTCTTGTTGGATGGCGTCCTCGATGGTCAGGATGGCGGGTAAGTCCTCGTATTCCACCTTGACGGCTTTGGCCGCTTCCTGGGCCTTGGAAGGCGACGTGGCCAGGATCATGGCAATGACCTGGCCTGCCGTAAGGACCTCGCCGTCGGCAAAGAAGAGCTCGTCAAAGTTGGGTGGCCCAAAGCGGTTGGCAGCGTCAGAGGACACGTCTTGCCTATCAACATAGTCGACCACGCCGGGCATGTCGAGCGCGGCGGAATAATCGATTGACTTGATCTTTGCGTGAGCCCTGGTGGACAGCACCCAGCATCCATACAGCTCGTTCTTCAGAGGAGGAATGTCATCCGTGTACTGGGCCTCACCGGTCGTCTGCTTCAATGCAGCAACATGAGGATTCGACTTGCCCGTGA